ATTACTATTGAATGCCAACTTGTCACTTACTACATCAACCCAAATCCATAAACTAGCACCTTGGTGGCTTAGACCTTTCCGCATTTCTGCACTAATATCTGATATTTCATACTGCATGAGCTTCTGCCACATATTTGGGTCTATCTAGTCTTTCATGTTTTCCAACTAAAAGAATTTTATATCAAGCCAGAGCGCTTTCCGGATCAACATCAACCACCACCACCACTACCAATTGTAGTTGAAGACCAACAAGAATATGAAGTGGACAGCATTTTGGAATATCACTACTTTTGGGGTGGTAGTGGACAACCACAACTTTAGTATAAAGTTCTTTTGAAAGGTTATCTCATTCATGATGCAACATGGGAACCTGCACAAAACCTCACCCATTCCCAAGAAACAATTTGAAGATACCATCGTGAGTGAAACAAAGACGTTTTGTATTAATAGAAGAAGTTTAACTGTAACAAGGTATAGATAAGATAATTATATAGATAATTGGAGCCATAGAAGTTTTTAGAATTGATATTAGGTTAGTGGATTAAATAGGATCCACCATAGAATATTCTAGAAAGGATTTAGGATAGTTCTTTAGGTGGGGTCTATTATAGAATCTTCTTGAAGAAAGCTTATGGTCGTTATCTAGGTGGGGCCTATTATAGAACCTTCTAAAAAAGAAGTTTAAGGTGATTATCTATATAGGATCCACTACCTAAAAATATTCTAGAAAGTCTAAAGTGATAGGATAAGCTATAAATAGAATTGGCCAAGGCCTTTTAGGACATTTGATCAAGTATGGCTTCAGATCCTTTCTCTTATTAAAGTTTGATTCTACATCTTTATGTTCAGATCTATTCTATTTTATTTCTATTTGCTCAATTTTGTCTTTCATTTCTTATTTTGTTTAGTTCCATTCAGTTTTTTTCTAGTCTATTTTGTCCTATTTTGTGAAGAGGCCTTATATTGTTGTGGATTAAAAGGATCATGGATTTTTAAATTAGTCTAGTCTTGTTTCACCCTTATTGACCTTCAAAACTCCATTTTTGAGACTCCAATCTACCTGAACTTCGATAATTTTTAATTTTTTTTATTTTATCATGCTCAAATTTATAAATTATAATAAAAATAATTATAATTATAAATCCACAAAATTTTACTTATAGATCTACTATCAAACTTATAAAAAAGTTCCAAATATAAATCTTTTTTTATTTCATAAAATTAGATTCACTAAAACAACTTTGACTTTACAAAGCTCTTATTGAATTATTACAAACTCAAATTATCCAAAACTCATGGTCAAAAAAATTCTATAAAGTCTTTCCTCAAATTCTACTGTCTAATTTACAAATGAACCTTAGAGTCATTATAAGTGCATGATTTTGTACCTTAGAATTTGATTTCAATCCTAATTGGCAACTAGCCCTTCTTAGACATCAATTCTTATTTTTGTATCTTTTTTTTGAAGTAATTTTTACTAAAATCAACTTCTAATTTTCTTGTACGTATCTCTATATCCTTTATTTCTTAAAAAATACCTTCGTAATAAAAATGATGAAGTAATTAAGAATATTTTTTGTTATTATTTATTTTTAATATTCATTTGTACATCTAGAAGAGTCATGAGAGAAGTTTAAAGAATTTTTTTGAAATTATGTAGATTATTAATTATCTCAAAATTATAGAATTAAAAGGCCAACACAAAGACATATATTATATTATGGACTATTTTTTCTTGATGAAATTTTTTAAGAATATAATAAAATACTTATTGAATCTATTAATGCCTTTGAAATGCTACAAATCAAATGTTTATGGAATATATGGCATGGGATTGTAATAAGCTAAAACAAATAGTCGAAGAATGTATGCCAAAGTTAAATGACTTTGTAAAATTTCACATATTTATATCAATATAAAAGTAGCAATTATAAAAAATGGTACCAATAATGGTAATTATTATCTAATCAAGTTTTTGAATATATTAAATCTATCTAGATTGCCACCATTTAGCTTAAAATTCAAGATTGGATGTCCTATTATGTTGTTGCAAAACATTGCTCTGTATCAAGGACTTTGCAATTGATCACAATTGGTCATTACGCATCTGAGTAATCAAATTATAAAGGCAAGTTTTTTATCTAGAAATTACAAAAAATAGTTGGCTTTTCTTCTAAAGATCACATTATGTCCATCACCTAGAGAGATTTTATTCAAATTGTAATAAAGGTAATTTCTAATAAAGGTAGAATTTGGAATGACAATTAACAAATCTCAAAGACAATCATTAAAGAATGTAAGAATAGATCTTTGAATCCCGGTATTTGCACATGGAAAGTTGTATGTTGCTCTATCACAATGCACTTCTTTGAATATGATCAAGATCCTATATACTAAAAGTAATAAAGAAAAAAAATATCTTTATAAATATAATTTATCTAAAAATTCTTTTAAATTAGTTATTTTAGTTTTTGTTTATATGAATTATGAAAAAATAAATTTATAAATTAAAATGAAGAAACATTAATTGATCTATTCTTATGCATATACTCTCTTTTTTATATTTTTTTAGGAGTGATCAACTTTTGACTTGAAAACTGAAATATATATATATATTGAAACACACATACACACACATGTATTGAAGAAAAATCACCCACTTTCTAAATATTTTAAAAAATTAAATATCATAATAAGAAATTACAATACATATTATTATCCATTATAATACAAAAAATCCAACATCTACTTTAATCCACCTTTATTCCTTTTATTTTATATAATAAAAAATAGAAATCTTATTCAACATAAAATTATCATATTACATCATTCTACCAAATATTTTATTTACGATAAAAAATAAATTTTTTTATTCAATTTTAATATAAGTAGGTAAGAGACTCACATGAAACATTTAGATTTTAGAATTTAATCTTCGATGTTTTCAAAGCTCAAAGCATAATCAACTAAATATTTTTTTTAAATACAAAAAAAAATGAATATAAGTGTAAAAAAATTAAGATTATCTAAGTTACATTAAGTAAATAATTATTATTGATATCTATAAGGACTAGTAAAAAATTGAAATTTAATTAAAAAACTATTACCATGTTTAAGTTCTTTAAAAACCATAAATAGCATGACCTTAGAGTATAGTAATATTTTAAGTTTTAAAATGAAAAATTAAAAAATAGAGAAAAAATACTAAAATTACTAAGAAAATATAATTAATAAAATTAATAAAATTAATAAAATAAAATTAATAAATTAATAAAATTTATTTAACTTTGTATAAATATTTTTTCTAAGAAAAAATGTTCTAATGTAAAAATTTATATTGATTGTATAATAAGTTAATACATAATAACTATTAATATAATTAATAATAAGAATATATGTTGTTACGATTTAATATTTTAAAAATGAGTTATTATGGATAATTTTATTTTAATTCTATAGATTTATATTATATTTATGTATTTTTTTAATGATTTATTTTTTAAAATCTAATTATAAATGATAAGAAAATTTATTTTTGGCACTTCATCCTACTAAGTTTTATAGATCTTAAGTATCATTTGAAGTTTTTATACTTCTTAAATTAAATTCATATTAAATAGGGATTTATCAATTGCATGACATGAAAAGTTATTGAAATTGTTTTCAAAGAGTGACAACTTTATATCATTTATCTTTTCTCTTTTTTTTTTTCTTTTAAGGTTGATCTTAAAATATTTTCATAGACTTAGTTAAATTTTATTATTAAGAAATGAACTTGGAATTAAAACAATACAACTCAATAAAGTATTGAAGTAGATCCTAAAGTTTAAAAATCTAAGTTTTTTAAACATAAGAAATCATACAAAAAAATACACTTATAAAATATGTTGGGTTAGATTAGATTAGATTAATTTTAAAGCAGCAATATTATAGCATATAATAGTCTACATTATATTAAAATTCTCGATACTCCTTTAAATATATTGTAGGAATGGTGTAAAAATAAAAATTAAATCAACAATGTGGTATGAATTGAAATTTTACAACCTTTTGAAGATAATACATGGACTACAAAAATGTTGCTGATGAATAATAAGAGTCACATGGTAGATGTAATTATAAATGCACCTCCCCTCAAAAGGGGGACATAGAGTAATGAAAGATGTCACAATATCATTTTTTATAACAATTAATAAGCTACTGATAGGTTAAAATGTAATAAATAAAATGGGTCTGTTTTTATAACAAAAGTGTGAGGATATTTTTATACCAAGTACAGAGAGAATAAAAATTTATAGCTATAAATATGTTATAAGTTACATATATATATTGTTTAAAATGGATAGCTTTACACTAATGTTATGTACAGTTAGGATGTTACAAGTTGGCAATATGAATCAAATTTTGAGAGTTAGAATTAGAATCTGCAAAAATTGCTTAATGAATCAGAGAATAGAAAATTAATACCATTATGTGATATCTTATGATACCAGAAGAATTTCTTGTAGAGTATTATTGTTTACAGCACTGTTGTATTAAAATGAATGATTCCCTCTAATATGAATTTTGGACACATTGCAAAAGTACTGATGTTCGTAACCAGAGAAATTAATAGTAGGAAAAAAATAAAATAGAAACATAAAATCAAAAAATCACCTCGCAAATGAAGGTTCTTCAATTTATCTCAGAGTTAAGTACAAAGGCAATATATGGCTAAAATTGGGAGTTTATTGGATAAATCAATTATTTGTTTGTAAATTTCTGTCGAGAAAGTTAAAGTATAAATTACCATGTGGTATTTAATTTCAATTTCTAATAAGGTTGATCAAACTTGTGTCTTTATAATATATTTAAAAAATAAATAAAATGAGGAGATAATGGAGAGATACAAATACTAAATAATATGTTATGCAAACAATGATTTTTTCCTCTTTTAATTATATTTTTTTACATATCTCTTTGAATGACATCAAAATATCATGAAATATAATGGAACAACGTACCTATTATTGGGGTCTTTTCCAATGACTTTTGTATTTTTGTGAAACAATGAGATGGTTGTTAGGGCCTTTCGGGCAATAATTTTTAACTATATGAGAATCGATCAGTTGGTTTCGTATAAGGCCTTGACACGTATAAGGCCTTGACAAGTACAACAACAACTACTTCTACTACTAGCAGTAATCTGGTGAACCATCAAAGATTAACGGGGTGAAAAGTCCCGGTCACAGTAACTAGCTGGTCCATCCTTTCGGTTGTTACCTGCAGCACAGAATTCCCCCAACAAACCCACAGCAAATATAGTACCACAGTAAATACTGTAAAGTCAAAAGCAGCAGGGTACGAAAAAACATGGATGAAATTACCCCCACGAATACCTTGTGGGTGATGAATGTAAAGCACGAATTCCGAGAGGATGGAAGTTGTTCAGGGATACTTCGTAGATGAATAATGATCGCGAGTATCGAAAGGATGGATGAAAGTCGACAAGCTGGGTCACTCGCTGATCTCAAAGCAAGCACATTCTTTCAGAAATAGAGTCGTTAGAAGCAGACGCTTTTCAGGTAGAGGAGGAGGTGGAGGATAATGAGAATAATAATAATAAGAATACAAGCATGTGCAAGAGGGCTTTAGTATTCCCTGCAGGTGAGAACTCGCCCTCCACCTGCACTAGGCGTGGTAATCATACAAAAGCCAGAGCTCCCCTGCACACAGCGAGGACAATAATGTAGGGGAACTGTAAAGCAATTGAATCAGTAGCGTCTGGAGCATTTTGTCTTTGGGAGCGAGATCGCCTGAACAACAACAACAGCAACAACTCCCCCACCTTCTTCTTCGCCACCTCCGCCAGCCACCCTTCGCAACGCAAACCCTATATCTGCCGCTCCGAAGTCCGGAATGTGTGGACCAGTCCATAGCTCAGAGGCCAGCAATCGAACGAAGCAGAGGAAGGCATCCAGGAGACAGAGAGGAACAGATCGGAGGACCCATTTCCGTGGACAACCGAGTTCCGGTATTGGTTGGAGGCGGAGATAGGTGTGTCTTCTGTGGTCTTAGATCATGGATGGTCCGCACTGAGTGCGTCAGGGGTATCGTGACCGTCAGTGCAGTATCGCAGGTTTCACGATGTTCGCGGTCTGGGGATGTCTAGGTCCAAGCTTACAGTTCGACTGTGATTCGCATTTCGAGCTCTTTGCGGTCATTTATGGCTGGAATGCATAGAATCAATCCCTCATTGCTCCCTATTAGTTTGTGCCAACACGCATAAAAAGAAGATTCATCAGGATTCTCAATGGCTTGAAATCTTTCATGCATGAAATGTTTTTTAGTTTTGTTTTTGTTTTGTACGGCTGTGTGGATTACTCGTTTAGGCGTTTGTAATATAGATCATGTTGTTGCTAATAAAATGTCCTAAGTAACAATATTATCTCGTAAAAAATTACGTCTGATGAAATAGTATATGTTAGTTATATATATATATATATATATATATATATATATATAAATTGGAATACGATAGTTGAAATTAGATGGATGGAGGCCTTCCACCATGAACAACGGATATGACTAAGTTTGGTCACCAGCATTGGAGTATGGTGTGAAAGAGGCTGCTGCTGCTGCAACAGGAACCATCCAGAAGCAGGCTACGGGAAGCGAGAGCAGCATGGAAGATACGGAAGAGGGAGGCAAAGAGCGGATTACCTACTCTCTCGTAACAACACAGATTTATGCTGGAGCATAGCGCCGCAGCAGGTGGTCATTAACGTAATCGTGTGTTGAAGCTTCTTGTAAGCGGGAAGGATTCAATCTGGACGCGGCGACATATCATGGTGACTATTGCGTGTCGCCGTCAATTGACGTGCACGTACATGGCGCTAATCAATCATACTCTTGAAAAGTACGGTACAACAGTAGCTATGGTGCAGGACTACTGTTGACAGCCACCGCTGCCACATCAACACCGGCAGGACCAAGTTATTACTCCCTGTCCAATTCTGTGCGCACTGCACACATGATGGCTTTTGTGGTTGCCGCACGTATCACCTGCGTTTCTCTGCACCATTCCTGGTGCAACCGCGAATCGCGAAGAGGGGCCAATGTTCCCGCTGAACTTTCACTTGCGATGCATCTCTCTCCATGATCGCTGTTGAGCGCACCGCAAGCTGTGACGGATCGGCCACAAGCTGCTCCTCTGGACAAAGACCTAAAGCTTTTGGCGTACATACAGTCTTTCCTCGAGTTGCTACTGCTTCGTTGTAGATGCGAGATAAAGGACCAGGTATTGGAGTCGTGACGGTGTTGCATTGCATGCGTCTGTGTGGAGCTGAAGTGGTGAGGCTTGCGGTGGAAGCACACGATAATTGTGAATACAGTGCACTGGAGAATGCTATCACTGTTGGACGTGAGTTCATGGCGAGAAAGCGTAACTGCTGTTTGTTCTTGAGTCCAGTCTCTTCATCTTTTAGTTCATCTTTTTGCATTTCGTCAACTAGCTCGTGTGAAAGTTCTTCAAAAACAGAAGTGACTCCCCGGCAGTATTGCTCATTTGTGTGTTCATATGCAATGCATGATGAGCTTGTGGCTGTCTGTTCCACTTGTAAGGAAGTAAGCTTACTGACCACACCAGCAAATCTGATTGTGCCATTACTTATGGTCGCATTGGGTGGTTTCCCACAGAAGAAAATCTTGTTCATCTCTGCCCTCTCTACTTACAGAGCTTATGCAGTTAATGGCCAGCATATGTGCATACAGCATTCTTAAAGTTTTTAAAAGGGTTTTGGAGTTGCAATTATTTTAAGAGCTTCGAGGAGGTCGAGGTCCTTTCTTTGTTGTGATTAGTACTTCTAAAGCGTTTGTGCACAGTATAGATTTTTTATTTGTTTCATTATGGTTGATACCTTACTCTTACCTGTTGGACTTGCTGGCAAGCTAAGTGGATGTTGCGGTGATTGTTTGTGAGTCTACTTCCTGGCCACGTGGCGTCAATTTATATTCGCTGCAGTTTAAGACCATATAGCTTTTCATGAATATTTTCCTATATCTAGTAACTTTCAATGCTGGATGTCTAATCTTGTCTAATGTGTTCAGACTCAAAGATTCTTCGTAGCGTCGTGCAGTGGCATTCGATTTTAAATGTATCTTTCAAGGATTAGTGCAGTTCGAATGATTCACGAATTATTGCACATGGATCGCTGTGCTTGTGTGCATTTTCGCATTCGTGCTTGGTGACAATCTTGTGCTTAGTTGACCTAATTCATTTTGAAAATGATGAACACCATTTTAACTGTGGTCCTGCTTTGTTTCAGGGTTGAGCAGTCCTATTCGCCAAGCTAATTTTTATAATATTGAGCTACGTTTTTTCTTTATTTTAATTAAACCCGCAACACACTACCGATGGCCAGACCTGAAGTTTGAAGATTCCAGCTCAACGCTGAAAGAGACATGTATAGGAAGGCACGTGGTCACTTGTTAAACCTTGAAGTCTAGAGGGATTTCGCCTTGCAGATAGATACTCATTGCAGCAGGACCAGTAACTGCCGAATCTGAAGTTTCTTCCTCTACCGAAATCACTGTATGCTCTGTGACTAGTTCGCAAATACATCGTTGACGTCTAAGATGAACCTCTTGGGTTCAGTTACTGCAGATGTTCATCGTTACAGAATTTCAACTTTCCATCTCAGACCAGTTCATGCTGCTGCAGCTGCAATATTTAATTTTATCTAGTGCAGGGAAACATGGACAAATAAGGATAGATCTCTGTAAAATGTGGGGTCTGGCAACGACGATTGTTGAAGTGATTATTCTCTGATTAAACTTACAATCCCCCTTCAGTTTGCAGCAATCTGAGAGCTAAGGCGTGGGAGTCCTGCTTTGGATGTCCTTTGACAACCTACATCAGCCAACTAGACCTACAAGTAGGTCTAAGTGAAACGAAGTCCTTATCACTAGCCCACAAAATTGGGCAGCGACTGAGCAGCTACTCGAGTTCATAAGTGATAGTCAGTCCTTCCTATTCCCACCATGGCCGCGGGCATTGTATCTTGTAAGTAGCATGACCCGCAGGAGATATTACATATCAAGCTCCAAATATTACCCACTGCGAGCTCCACTATTGTCTAAGCTGTGACGTTCCTGACGCGGGAATTTGGTGCTTCAAATGGCTAAGCATAACAGTCAGGTTGACACTGAAAATCAGAATCACAATTTAAAACATCAATTGCAACCTGCAGATCAATGGATACCAGTTTCATCTCCTTCGGTCACGAAACCATACTCTCCAGCTGCTGCAGGGTCGAAGAAGACGACTGAGGAGGACGCTTCGTCTGCGCAATGCATTGATGAAATTTCTGACAAAGCACCGGCGGCAGATTCATCCATGGTTCACGCTACTTATGATCACAAGAGAGTCGCACCACATTCTTTGAAGATGCATGGTGTTGACAAACTCAATATTGGCTTTGCTCCCGTGGATTTGCGTGGGAATTTATTATTGGACTTGAAAAATACAGGAGGGTGGCGAGCAGCTTTCTTCATTTTCGGTATGAGACCTTCGTCGTTAATTATACCGTGGAATTCGGATTGTGCTAGGATGAACATAACAACTTCAGAAATCTCTACATTTTGTTGATTCGTTGGTGTCTTACAAATGCCGTTGACATCTTGGGTGACTAAACATGCAGATTTAAATCAACATGATGAAGTTTTAAACATTTGATAGGAACAAGGAGGTAGGTTGGATTGAGCACTGTAGGGAACTGTTGAGATCGTCGTTTTTAGTGAAAATTACCTAGCTTCCTCCTCTATCCCTAGTTGAGAAGACAGTGGGTGTGGCATCTATGGCGACATACTTTGTTGGAAACACATCCTGTGTTCCCCACATTCTATGGCCACTTACCTTCATATGATGAGGCTTCTCTTAAATTGCGTCTGGTTATGCAGGCAATGAAACCGCGGAGAGAATGGCATTTTTTGGAATCCTTGTGAACTTATTGTTCTACCTGTATCTTGAGATGCACATCACCTTTCCAGAAGCTTCAACACTTGTTACCAACGTGGTGGGAACTTCTTCTCTCACCCCTTTACTGGGCGCGTTCATAGCTGATGCCTACATTGGACGATATTGGACGATTGGCATCTTCTCCACAGTATATTTCCTGGTAAGCCATACAAAACAGCTCTAAAAGATCGTCTATCCCATAACAACGGATACACTCATCACCACTGGCCTATAGAATTAGTAACAAAATGGTCCTCGTAACAATTAGATAATAATTTAAGTAATTGTCAAAATTCGTTTATTTTTTATCTTCGACTCAGAGCAGTGATGACTTAGTGGGAAAACTCGTACCCTTCGCAAAACGATGAAGCACAGTTGCAGTTGACGAGTGAAAAAGGTCTTCAAAAATTCCTAACAATTTAGAGCTCGGATGTATCTTGAACAGCGTAAATGAAGCCTTTGCGGGATGTGAGTTCCAATCTTCCACCTTGATCCTACTTTACAGTGGCATTTTTCATTGCAGGGTCTAATTCTCTTAACCGTTAGCTCAATCTCGTCAAGCTTGAGGCCTACAAGTGTGGGATGTGATGAGCTTCACCTGTTCCTGGGCTCCTGCCAATTGCCGTCCAGGAGTCAAATGGCTTTCTTATATGTGGCGCTGTACACCATTGCCCTCGGTTCAGGAGGGATAAGGCCTTGTGTGTCATCTTTTGGAGCGGATCAATTTGATGTTGAGAACTCTAAAGAGAGGGAACAACTCCCAAGATTTTTCAATGGATTCTATTTTATGATCACTTTTGGGATCTTCCTTTCTCTCACTGTTGTTGTTTACATCTCAGAGTACATCAGTTGGGCCTGGGGATTTGGTACTTTATCTATAGCAATGGCAGCAGCAAACATTATTTTTTTCCTAGGAACGCCGTTTTACAGACACAGAATCCCTAGTGGAAGTCCACTTACGAGGTTTGTGCAAGTAATGATTGCCGCATTGCGGAAAAGGCGAGTGAAAACACCAAAAAACAAAGATGACCTCTACGAAGTTTATGACAAAGAGTCAGCTATTCCGGGAAGTAGGAAACTCAAGCACACGTACATCCTAAGGTGAGCTACTCTGCATTTATGTATTTAAATCGTGGGAGTCATCCGATCTCTCGGCCAGCAGTTTAGGAGTTACTGCTAACATTCTTGCCGGCCTCCCTTCAGAATTTGACCTCGGGGAATTTCCTTCAATTCAGATTTCGCTGCAAAAAATTTCTTTCTTTTCTTCTTAAATAGAGCAATGTATCTGAATTTCTTGTGCAAATGGATGTCCAGTTTTTTAGACAAAGCAGCGGTTGAGACAGCTAATGACAAGGCAGCTGGACAGCCAGTAACGACTTGGAGACTTTGCACTGTCACGCAGGTTAGATAACGATTATTAAGTGGTAATACATGATGGTCAGGTTTGCCATCAGTGATTTTTATGATTATCATGTAAATTTTATTTTATAAACAGAATCGTTATGGTTTTTGTCATATTCAAGTTAACCAGGGAAACTTTTTGAGTTTGTTTGTAACTTGGTTGATCAATCGAACTGCCCAACATGGCTTTCATAGGATTATTCTGTTTTATTTTGACGTTTAAGAAAAGGGCGGTTAATCTATAATTAAACGGAAACTGACGATTCCAACCTTGAGTACTATGAGCCATAAATTTGTTCTTTTGTAGGTCGAGGAGGTCAAGATTTTGGTGAAAGTGATACCGATCTGGGCAACAACCATCATTTTGAACACTGTGTTCTTGCAAATCTTAAATTTTGGCGCTCAGCAAGCTCTGTCGATGGACAGGAGGCTCTTCAGCTTTACAGTGCCAGCGGCATCTGTGCCTGTTGCAGCGGCTACGATTATACTCATATTTCTACCTTTCTATGATCGTGTCATGGTACCCTTCATGAGAAAATTTACTGGAAATCCAAGAGGAATTTCTTTCCTCCAAAGAATTGGTGTAGGCCTTTTTATTTCTATTTTGGCGGCAATCGTTGCAGCACTTCTGGAGAAAAAACGACGACAGGTAAATCGCTAAAATCTCATCAGTCCCATTCTCCGCAGTAGCGAGTAAGAATCCTTGAAAAATTTGTAGTAAGCCCTTTAAAGGTATTGCTCAATGTATGCTCTGTTTAATTTGTGGTTAGGCGTGAGACTTACATTATTCCAATGAAAAGAGGTGCACAGCTAGGAGCAGCAAATTGATTCATAAAATATACAGTCTGATATGTACTACGTTTTATTATCAAATTGCTACTCTGCACTGTTGGTAAGCAATAGTTTTTTTTTTTTTTTTTTTTTTTTAGATGTTGATTAATATAATGATCGATTAGCACCTTCTTTTTCGAAGCAATTTCTTTGCTGCGATTCACATCAAGTTTGTTTAAGCTGAAGTTGGATACATGCGTGAAGGTATCTTGGGAGACAAACACGGCGCGAAGCTACAATGCAACAGTTCCGCTCTCAGCCTGGTGGCTTACAATTCCCTTTTGCATGACTGGACTTGCCGAGATCTTTGCTTCAATTGGCCAACTGGAATTTTTCTATGACCAAGCTCCCGATGGGATGAGAAGCATTGGGACTGCATTCTTTTCGGCTACATCAGCTCTTGGCGCTTACTTGGGCAGTTTTTTGATAACTATTACCACCAAGTATGCAGAGCACCATGCACAGCAACCTTGGATCAATGCCCTGATTAGCCTTGGTCACATGGATTATTATTTTTGGCTCCTGGCTGTTCTTAGTGGTATTAACTTCGTTGTGTATCTTTTTTGTGCTCACATGTACGAGTACAAGATAGACTCGCAAAGTACTATGAGGGAGGCGCTGGTTCAAGCTTTAGCTAATGATACTGACGAAAGTCATAAAAAGGGCCGCGAGGAGGGTCCAATTAATTGCCCGGTTGATGGGAATGGAGTGATTACTTAGAGTCGCTCGACCTAGATGCCACTCCGGAATGTGAAATCAAATGCTAGCGCACACAGTCTGTCCATCCTTCACTTGCAAGACTAAACATGTTGCATGCAACTCAACTCGTAGGAACAGTGAAGCATTTCACACCCAAGGCGCTCAATCAGACGAAGTGCTTGGTGAAGCTGCCTTCGATTATCATCCGGGCCTGTCATGGCAGCTGGACTTTTGCTGAACTGAAAATCAGAGAAGCCTGTTTTAGAAATTTGTTTCGGAATGTTTGCTAGTGAAACCAGATTTGTATCCATGTGAAGAATGGGATATTTGAGGAGCTAGAATCATTTAATGATGACTAGCAATCACTATTGCAGCGACTTGGGATTGTGAACTCCACACGTTTCCTGCCGAGCCCTTGAATTGATAATGACAAGATGTGTAACCACCATTGGCCTAGACAGTGGTCGTAGTGGGCCCCTTTTTTTGACATTTCTCTGTTCAATAGTTGACTTTAAAAACTTTTGGAACGAGTGAAAACTTATCTTTTGGCACCCATTAGTTCTGAATCCATTCAGTAACAATTTGTCCCGAATGCTTTTGGCAAGATCTTACCCATCTTGTCCATAACGTATTCTTCAAATGTCATCAGTTTTGATTCCAAATTGTAACCATGAAAACTAACCCTCGAGTAGAGGATTTCAGCAACTGCATGTGCACGTTTTTCCACAGCACTTGTCACTTAAAAATGGATTAGGAAGAACATAATAAACAATAAATAAATAAATAAATAAATAAAATCAACATCAGTCACAAGCGTTAACTATCAAATCCACACACTAAGTGGAATTTGTTTCAAGCTGTTTGACTACCGTCTAACCCAAGTCTAAATCAGAATATATAATGGTAAGTCACAGAGACAAGTCAAAATCCGATGCCAAGTCCAAATATAACTAAAAACAGAAAAAAACAAAAAAAAGGGCAATCTGGACTTGGAGCAAGCAACAGTAAACTGAACAATATCCCCATCCTATGGAGGAACGGCCACGACCAGGAAGGACCCTACAATGTGGCAACGCGAAAGCGAACCACCATTTTCCGATGAGGGTGCAAGCACGAAGAGCGCTCAGCTTCGGACGACTGTCGAAATGGGGAGCACTCGATACAGAAGCAGAGAGCTGTCGTCCTAGTGAGATACGTAACATGCCCCCCCCCCCCCTCCCCCCCCCCAAAAGAGAAAAAAAAAAAAAAAACAAAAAACAAAAAAGCAAAGGAATTTTGCAGAGTTCCTTCCACAAAGCAGGTGCCGACACCATTCCAAGTGGAGGAGAGTGGTGGTAGCTGCGCTAGAGCTTGCGCGACGCCACGAGCTCCAGAGCTCGAGAGTGGTACTACGAGGCAGCTCGCAGCGGTGCCACCAAGCTGGGGAAACGGGGTTTTCACCCTTGCTCGCTCCGCCCCCCTTTCACTTTTCACTGCGTGTGAGTACCATTATCTACTGTTCGGATGGAATTGCCGCTTTTTCTGTTGGGCTCCAAGATATGGGTTGGAGCAGAATTGCGCCAAACTGGCCTTCAGCATCGGCCGTTCACATCTTCTCGTTGATTCATCCCCGCTTTTGGGTAGCGGTTGCCAGTGTGGTTGCTTGGAGCTCAGAGATTCGAGATTTTTGTGTGAGAATCTTCGACTCGCAGGTGAAGGAAGGCTTTCGGAACTGGGATAGTCGTTTTGCGTGAAGGTGGAGTCTGCAGGAGCTCAGGTTGGATTGTGGAGGTTTTGGCAAGGGTGTTGAGTCTTGGTCGTTTTTGTGGTGAGGGCTTGACTCAGAAGTTGAGTTCATTTTCTAATGTTTTCTTTTTTCTTTTTTTTTCCTTTCTCGAGACAGAGTTTGCAATTTTTGATAGAATTTAGGGTCCAAGCTCTGAGCAGAGAGTTACAGCATTCGCATGATATGCGCCTGTGAAGTCCGATCAACATGCAGTTGGAAATTTGCTTGGCGAGTGAAGATCTCTTGCTAGATTTCTTATAGAGTTAGAAAACTGGTATCAAGTAGCCACCCTATATTTACATCTGTGCTATCCTGCAACTGAGGTTGAAGAACCGTGTATCTTGAAATCATTGTTTCGCTTCGTATTCTCTGAATCGCACAATGCACCGCTACGTTATCTCCGTGTGCAATTCCAGATGAAAACGTTAGATATCATCAGGCCGTGAATTGCAGACTGCTTAAGAAGGCGGTTTGCAAAACCGAGTGAATTCAATCAACGGCTGCATTGTCCCTACCTACGCCTGTTTTCGATTCACGCAATCCAGCTAACACGTTTTCAATTGAACTTTGGTTTTGCAGCGAACTAGCCATGGCGCTGATTGGGGCTCATGCCCACAAGCTTCTTTGCACCCACCTCAATTCCAGTTTAGCCCGCGACAGTCAAGCTCCGAGTGCCTCTCAGAATGTAACTTTTGGAGCATCCACGAGATTGAATTTTCCTGCTATGGGAGTAATGAAGCTCGTATTCCAAGACACTAGTGCGACTTTACTCGCTGGCCATGGTGTAGACTCTTACAATCAGCGCTGTCGTGTGTACAGCGCTAGAGATTCATCCCCGGCTGCAACTTCCTCTTTAGAACAGGTAACATCTTCCAGATCATTTGTGTGGGTCATCAGATCTTCTCTACTAGTGCTAAGTAATTGTCTTATGCAACAATCCATTTCCAAGTATTGTTTGACAGGCGCGGTCGTATGCTGCGCAGGTGGAGACAGTAGACGAAGTAGAGACTGAAGCTGAAAAGGAAATGACAACGTTAACAGAAACCGTGACATCTGAACCATCTTGTCCCTTGCCTGACGTTCCATCCAGCATGGTCCAAGTCACCCTATTAAATCCATTGAAGTCATCTCTCCCTCCTTCACAAGTTCCTTCAAACTCAGCACCGTTATTGGTGTATGTTCCGGGAATGGACTGCACCGGACAAGGAATACGTCGCCAGTTGCCTGGGCTTGTAGCCGCAGGGTAACACCCTCCTCCGACCACCTCATCTTTCATGCTTCGTTTTCCACAATTTTCCAATCATGATATAAAATCAAAGCGTGTGCAGTGTGTGCAAAAGGCGGCACAATAATCTGGGACTGGTTACAAAATTAGGGACAGCTTGACTATGAAAGACGGATGTAGACTGCTGTGCCTTGACTAATGACGCTGTTGTGGTGTAATGTTCTAGATACGATGTTCGATGTGTATTCATTCCGAGTGACGACAGATCATCATGGTCACAACTTGTACAAAAGATACTCCCTTTAATGGAAAAAGAGGTGGAATTCGACTCAGGCAAGCGTCGCCATTTAACCGTGCTTGGTGAGTCATTTGGTGGCTGCCTGGCAATCCGGTTAGCGCAAGCTGCTCCGCATATAGTTTCCCGGCTAGTACTGGTATGCTTATTTCTCAAATCAGCTTGAATTCTTCATGTCTAAGTATGTTGATTTTGTTGCTGTGCGAATAAGCATACTGAATTATTGTTTTGTGCTGCATTCAGTCGCAGCTCAAACACTATCAGATGGCTTTTTTCTTTGTTATAGAGGTGGTATTTATATTCTGATCGAGTAAAGTGATGGGATGTTTGGGTATGGACAGATCAATCCGGCTACAAATTTTATCGAGAGCAATGCACTTGCTAGTTTTGCTGCACGGACAGGGTTGTTGTCAGCTTTTCCTGAGCCTCTCTATGAAATAGCGCAGGTTTAACAATGCGCACGTTCTCTTGTTCACATCCTTTCATCGAAAGCTTGTGTTTCATGTTACACATGTTGATAGATACACATACACATGTTACAATAAGGCGATTATTGAGTGCTAAACTGCCAATTATGGACTACAGGATATAATGTTGCCTCTGATGGTGCGGAAGGGCCGTGTTTCGAGGACGGGTAACGAGGACATGTTGTCACCTATCGATTTTGTTCCTGCTCAATGTGCAGCTTGGCGATTCTCTATGTTAAATGACAGCTTTGGACTTTCTGATACGGAGATTCAAAACATCACTGTACCAACTATCCTGGTACTTATCAGTTTGAAATATCTACACCGCATGTGAATTTTTAGTAACTAGATGTGTTATTTTTCCTGAAAAATTGGGAAAAATTCGCCAAGTCGTTTGACGTAGGAATGCTGTTGATGTATGGTACAGTTTGCATCGGCAAAGGATCGGGTCTTGTTTTCGACAGCTGAGTGCCTTCGCCTGCAGAGACTTCTTCCGAACTCGAAGCGAGTGATAATGGCTGAAAGGTAATCAATGTTATTCTATTTAGTTACTGGTTTTTTTGATATATTCCATTATGTCGATACTTTTGTGAAGAAGAGGGTCGGATCTGGAGATGTCAAACCACCCACTCATTGATGGTCTCTAATATTCATGTCATTTTCAGCGGCCACACACTTCTCTTTGAAGATGCAATCGATTTGGCGCATTTATTAGACAAGTATGGATTTGCCCCACCCCTGAGTCCCTCTACTTCATCCACTACATCTGAGTCGCATACAGAGGGGCAGCCTCAACAACCCAACCAGCTATTAAAGAGGAAGCATGATGTTCCTGACGAACAGTATGATGAATTGGGAATGATCTTAGAACCATGGAAGGTGAGTTTATGATTAGGATACCTTTGGTTGCCATTCAGCTGCTGGCCATAGAAAGTGTCTTAAAAAGGTGCTACTTGTTTGGCCAACACATGTATGATGGGCTTTATTTTGCAATCCCGTGTTGTGGAAATCAAGTCGTGGTTACAGACAAAAGTTGGCGTACTGCACTCTTGGTATCTTATCGATCTTCGTGACCTCTCATAGAGAATTCTATTTGAATTGCAGATACTTACATCACCATATGTTACTGGGGCAGATTCTCTCCCACATCCAGAAATGGAGGTTTATGGGTGTCACCTTTTTACTTGCTTTATTTAACTCTGAATATTACACGTCGATCATGTTTGTTTTAGGAGGTTTGTACAGGTGCCCCTGTGCATGAATCGAGGCTTTTGTTTACAAATTAGGTTTACAATCGAGATTTTTTTAATGTAGTTTTTAATTTTTTGATTTCTTGCATATTGCAGCCGAGAAGACCGAGACTCTTTGTAGGCAATCACACAATGTTCGGGATCTACGATTCACCTATTCTCGTTCATGAGGTGCGCTTCTTTGTGACATCACATCTTTAGCGAAAAGAGTGCTTTTGTACTCTTACCTTGAAAGTTAACCTCCTCATTTGACATGGTTTCTTCTTCATTATTGTGTTGTAGCTTTACACGAGGGGGTTTCGGGTTCGAGGATTAGCTCATCCAGGCCATTGGGCAACCGGTGTAGGACCTGTATTTGAGAGGTATGTTTGTCTGCCATCAATAAGATCGATACGGTGATTTGGAACATTTTTATTTCGCTTCATCCACGCAAATAATGAACTTGGTATCCTAGCTAATTTCTTACAAGTATGTTCCACATGCATTAGCGTGTATTGTCATGTGCACAATTTCATAGTAGAATCACTCGTTGAATTCGCTTGTTCTTCTAAAGAAAAAATTGTCAAACCTTGAAAAAAACAATTCTTGCCCTGAATACGTGGGGCTCAAGTTGGCTACAGTAATGATTCTCTTCGCAAAACAATCATGGGTTATTTCCTGCAGTACTATTCTAATATAAGTGCTTTGCTTGCTTAGGTATGGGAATGTGAAAGCATCAAAATTTTCGGCATATAAGTTACTAAAGGTGATTATCCGATTCTGCTCTTAGTCGATTTTTCGTTATACTAGTAGCAATATATTCTTTCATCACGTCTTGTTTGATGAGTTGGTTCTCTTTCTATGCCACATTGATTGGTTTGCGCTACGTTTGTTTAGATCTGACAGAATTTATTGGTTTAACATCCTCAGGATGGAGAAGACGTTCTATTATTTCCAGGTGGTTCGCGAGAGGTTTGCAAACGGAAAGTAAGTGCTTATTCGGACCTTAATAAAAGAAAGATCATATGCGGACTTTTAGCTTCGATTCTTCAGTCATTGGCATCTCATTCTCAGTTGTCCCCCTTGTGACATATATTGTCCAAATGGTTGTGTAGTAATATCTTGTTCTTTTGGCACACAGGGGGAAGAGTACAAGTTAATGTGGAAAGAGACAGTTGATTTTGTGCGCATGGCTACTCGGCTAAACGCCATAATTGTTCCATTTGGGATCCTGGGAGCAGACGATGCGTACGTTTAACATGTTTCCTTCTTCATCCTACGTTTTGATTGTCAAATTCCGGATAGCTTGAGTTCTATTGCTATGAGACAGCTACAACTCATTCCTTTACATCTGACGATTTTTAAGTGTCTCAACTGTGTTTTTAGATCAAATCTCTTATGTTCTGGCACTTCAATAATATGCGATAGTTGTGCGTGGTAACAGATACAATATTTTATATGACGGGGATGATTTTCTTGCATCACCCCTCGGACCAGTTATAAGAGCTATTTACAAACGATTTGACATTGGCATGGAGAATATTTATCCTCTCACGACCTTACCTGGATTAGGTTTACCCAGGTATATATCTGCAAAGATTTTTTTTTTTATGTCGTCGATATGTTACATGGAATTGTAAATTGCTCACTATTCTCACATTGGTTTTATTTTCTGTAGGTCACCGTGAGTTACATATGTTTTCGGTTGAATAATAGTAGTAATAATTATCTTTTTGAACGTATTTATTGTTGTGTGCAGTGTTATCCCTGTTCCCAGTATAGAGCGCATCTACATTCACTTTGCAGATCCTGTAGACACGACCGCGTACAAATGTAATCTAAAAAACAAAGAGGATGTACGTATTAGTGAGATACTTACCAGGGTGCTATGCCTTCAGCTTTGGTTTTGACTACAATCGATTCCTCCTTCAATAATTACATTCCATCTGTGTAACAGTAGCGTTATCTCTATGCTACTAACTGTGAGATCGGTTTGTTTGTTGCTGTTGTGCTACTCTATTGCGCGATGCAGTGTAAAGATTTGTACAGTAAGTTCCACCACCGTTTTCCCAACCTTCCACATTTATCTTTGTGGGTTTGCTACCTTCTGAAGTATGCAAGATGGGCTTGAATTTGGATTGTTTGCTATCAAATAGAGACAAAGTTTTACTAGATCAATTTTGTGTATATATTTATATATGCATGGTTGGATTCTGCAGTGTTAGTAAAGAATAGGGTGGAGGATGCTATAGTGTACCTGAAGCAAGTACGAGAACAAGATCCTGTAAGAATCGGCTCCTTCTTTGGCAAAAAACATCATATTTCGCATTATATCAATTTACTTTTTCGTGATGGTGTACGATCCTGGTGCAAATCTATGACATTTGTTGTATGACACATGTTGCAGGAGAGGGAGTTACCGACGCGTGTGCTGGGAAAAATTGGAAGGTTGTTGCCTGAACGTAAACCGCGAACCTGATTTATACCATTCCATGCTCCGGCTATTAGTTCCTACATTGGGATGATTTGCTGGTAGTCAGGCGTAGCTTTGTTTTGTATTGATTGTGTGATTATTTTGTAGTGCTCCATCATGTACAGCATTACTAGGATTCCTTCAAAAAGAGAAACAAATGACCCTCCAACTAATACCGAGAAACATCGTCTCTTTGTAAACATTTGGACATTTCAATATATGACACCCCTCTTCAAACCTTAAAACCAGTGTTGTAAACCGATTTTGATTCACAATCATGCTTTGCCAGATTCTCGTTATCATGTCTAATCTATGGCTTGCACTGGAAAATTTTGTGCCTCTCTATTAATCAAGAACTATCCTTAGGGAGTAAAATCTTTAGAGTAGCACCAAGGTTTTCCGACTTCCACGCTGCTTTGGGAGCTTGTGACATTTCTCAGATCGTCTGCTGTGTTGAACAATCTGCGCCAACAGTAGTAAAGTAAGCACAAGATTTGAACAGTCTCCAAACACATGTTGTTGCCAATGCTCAGTGTTTGCTGCTCAAGTCACAGGTTTCCGGGCAGAAGCCTTAATAATTACAGTTTTTTCCTCTTTACAATTGTGGAAAATTGTGGAAACTTGTAGCGATTCGCTCGTGAGATTCATGCTTTTTACTTTTAACTCGGCATCTTTGAGGCATGGTTATTACAGTGGTGTCAAAAAGTGACTGGCCCTAATGTGGCCAAGGCTGAAAATAGGGGTTGGTGGCTCATCTCCAAAAGCCGGTTCTGGGTGCACTACGAGCAAGCTAACACGAATATGCAACCAGAAGATGGGTGTTTCCGGCAGCTGGGAAACATTACACAGCTCAATCGTGTTGAACACATGGCTAAGCACAATCCAATCCAACACGCTTCAGTATTATCACCTGGTCGCATGCGATGCTGAGACTCATCACACAACAAACACATTTTGCATACAAAACTGAGCTCTTGACCAATATGGGCTCAGAACTGCACGAGCCAGGTAATGGATTAAGCAACTGGAGCATCAGTTCACCCATTTCCACCACCTGGATGTGCCAAAATAAGAAAGCAAGCAAGCAAACAATATGAAGAATACACGTGTGCATAGAAATAATACAATTCAGGATTTGTGTAGTTGTAAAATTTTTTACAAGAATGTTTCTTGTGAACGTCAATTAATTTTGTTTTTATTTTTCTCGTTTATTTATTTATTTAATTATTTTTTGGATGGTTATAGTTAACTTCCTTTTTTTTTTTGTTTTGGGGATATTAATTGTAAATTCCATATGCACTTTGGTAACAAATTGTGATAAATTCAAGATAATATTATAGTTGATAAAGGTAAAATAACAATTTTTTTGTTGACAAGAGAGGACTTGTCCAGCCTATTTATTTTTATATATTTTTAATGTTTTTAAAGTTTTTTAAGTATTGAAAGCCATTGATGATAGTCAGAATTTTAGTAAATTTAATACAATTTATATTGATTTATGAGATGAAGTTTCATATTAATTTTAAAAAGAAGATTGTTGATCTATTTGTTTCCATAATATTAGCTATTAAGTAAGGTTATAAGTTAAGATAAAATTGTATTTGGGTTATTTATAGTCAAGTGATCATTAATATGTGTCAAAACTACCAATGATCTTATTACTAATTAGTATATAAAGCAATTTCGAAGTTTTAAAGTTTCTTTTTTTGAGTAAATATTTTCTAAATATATTTTAAATTTAAATTTATATTTATATATTTTTATTTCATCTGTTATTATTGTTTTTTATTTAAATTATATCACGATTTTTAGATTAAATTTTATCATAGTGTAAACAAAAGCATAAAATTATAATTTTTATGCTTAGAATGTATTATTTTCATTTACAACAATGACTACCAACTAAAATGATTGGTATATTTTAAAGTATTTTTTACACTTAAATTTAAAATAATAATAAAATAAATTTTAATGACAAAGTAAAAAAAAGGCAAAATATTGTTGTTGAAAAATTGGACTTTAAAAGATTTACTAACCAAATAGTACTTTTTATTAAACTCCAACCTTATAGTTATCCAAATTTAGTATTTTAAATTATATTTACTAAATCATGTTTAGCAGACCAAACATATATAGATTTTTTTTTAAAATAATTATGTGTAATATTATATAATATATAAAAATATTTATATTAAATTAACATATATTTATTAAAAAACCAATGAAATGCATAGAATAAATAATAAGATTTGGATCTTGCTTTTTAACAATAGATTTGTATTAATATACACTTTAAAAATCTTAGAGGCTAACAATTAACTATATATAAAATAATATCACTTGAATCTTTAAAAAAAATTAAAAAGTATAACATAATATAAATATGTTATAGTTAATTGTTTTTAATCTCTAATAATTTAGCCAAATAATCAAAAAAAATATTCAATATATATACTTACTTTTTGAAAATAAATAAATAATAAAATTACTCTATAATATTTTTATAATTTTATAGCAATGTCTATATTTCAAAAAATAATTTAAATAGTAGTAAAAGACGTGCAAATTGATTGTATATAATTTAAATTTCTTATAACACAAGGTAAATCTAACATAAAATTTAAGTTCTTTGCTTACATTGTTGAGAAACTAAAAATGTTTTCAACATTGTTAATAGAAATATTCAATAAAAAGATATAAAAGATAAAAAATAAAATAAAATAAAATAATTATTTAACATCATTAGAGATTGTGTGGTTGGATTATATATAATATTATTATTTTTAAAGGTTTGAAATATGCTCTAAACTCTACTTTCACTTTGTATCATAATCTTTGTTTTGAACAATAATTTACTTAGTTCCTATCTTTATTTTGTTAGATATTAAAACTTTCTTTATAGTTTTATGTTTTTATGATATGTTTATTAAGCATTATAGGATATTTTTTATATAAAATATTAAACCTTTATAATTATGAATTATGAATTGTTAATTGTTATTTTTTTTAAATATCACCTATAAAAGATTCTTAATAAAAGTGGTTGTATATTGTCATAAGTATACAATAATATTTACTATTATTAAATTTTTTATTGATATTTTATTTTACATTTTGTGAATTAAAAAGTCATAAACTTCATATAAATTTTTAAACTACAATATACATATTATTCAAATGATTACCTTTATTTATTTAATTTTAAATAAATTATATATATATATATATATATATATATATATATTAATAAAATTTATAATAAAGTTTTTTTTATAACTTTAATTTTAATCATTAGAAAATTTAATATTTTAAAATAGGTAAATTAAAATTAAATTAAAATTTATCAAAATTTATTTTATGATAATAAATATAATCTAATATTCTATTTATAAATTTTATGTTATTTTTTATTTATTATTAATGCTTGTTTAAATAGATCTTTAATCATATTATGTGTATAATTATTAAATTAAAAATAGGTCATTTAATGAATAAAATAAATCTAAATTTAAAAACAATCTTTTCTATTCATAATGATATTTGTATGTACCAAAAGTTTAAATATAATTATGTGTATTTATAAATTTTGATAATATAATAGATTTTTAGTTGATATTTTGTTTTGTTGAAGATTCCAATATGTAGAAGATTCACTAGTATATTGTAAGAAAAAATCAATTTTTTTAGAAACTTTATCTTCAAAATGATGAACAATGTATATTTAATAATCAAATATTAGAGTAGTATATGCAATGTATTAAATTATTATTAACAAGACAATTTGACACTTCTTTGGTGCTTGCAAAGTTAGATTATTACATCATAATACTTTTATCTATTCAATAAACACTATTTTATATCAAGTATATTAATACCTAATATTATTGTTTTAAGTGGATATTATAGCTACTTATATTGTTTGTATTTTATTTAATGGTAGTAATAAAAGTCTTCATAATAAGAAAAATACTTAGATATACATTTTTTTTAAATAAGTGTAAATATTGATAGGTCAAAGGACCTATCAACCATCTTTGTGTGAAGCATAGATTAAAATTTGTGATAAATCCCATTTAATATTCTTTAGACTTTATCAACTTGCTAGTCAAAATCTAATTGCACTTTATAGAACTTGTATAGAAGGTATATTATTTATCTTTAAATTAAAAAAAAAAAAAAACTTATCTCATATATTTTTATTGTATCTAAAATGTAATAATAAAATATCTTACAACTAGGACTTTTGGTTTGTAAGCCTTGTAATATTTAAAAAGCTTTTAATAACCTTCTTATTAGCTAGTATATATAAAGTCAAAACTAAAGTCATTTATATTCTTGCTAATACTATTTTTGTATTTTAATCTTGATTTAAGTATATTTTATTTTATTTTATTTAAAATAGTTAATAAGATTTTTTAAATTTTAAATTATCTCTTTTTAATCTCCTTTCTTTGCTTTCAAATATAAATAATGATATTTTCTATTAATAACATGGAATAGTAATAAAAATAGCATATATGATATAAGAAGATTCAAAGGTCAACATTGATGGATATGGGTTTTAACTTTTAGTTGCTAAAAATGCTTTAAAAGGTTACAAGCACAAACAAATATTATGTACAGTTACTCTGATTTTAAATGTTTAAGTTATTGAAGAGTTGCATGCTTTGTTTGTGATTCATGATTTTGTTTCATACGTCTCAATCCATGGTTTTGTACTTTGTACTTTTATCTTTTATTATCTATCAAGTAATGAATAAATTAATATCATTCCAAGGGTTTGTTCAATCATATATTTATTAGTATACTTTCATTGAAACATATATTGTGCTACAATCCATTAAACTTTTTCTTGTACCCCATCTCAAAACCTGATTTAAAATATTCTTACATGAAAATGATTTATGTTATGTGTCTACTTAAATGTAATACTACAGGCATTACTTTAAAAAAATAAAATTATGGTACATTTTTTTATATTCTAAAATATTTTACACGTTTTTAAATTAAAAAGAATTCAATTCAAACTAATAAAGTGGATGTATGTTTACTGCATCTAGCTAAGTGGAAAAATCATCAAGTCCAAAACACAAACCACAAACCAAAAATGAAAATTACACACAAGAAAATACATACTTACATACATACATACATCCACACATAAGAAAAAAATAAAAAGAAAAAAAATACACATTCACAAATCCATGTTCACACAAAAACACATAATTTTTTATTATTTTGTTTTACTTTTTTGTTGTGTTGTGTTGTGTTATTTTATTTATTTATTTTATTTATTTGTTGTTGTTGTTTTTGTTGTTGTGAGTACATCTTAATGGTTCTGAATAACGTTACTAAAACAGACATCACGTATTAAAGCAGGCAATGTGTATGAAAGTAAAAAGCCAAGCCCCTTTAAGGTTTACTTTTAAGGACACTCTCTTCGAGGAACAAACTGTGCGGCGAACGGCGCTACCGTCGCCGCTACGATGGATGGATGAATACATGCGTATAACGATGGATGTATGGCTGGCTGCAGACATGGAAGCTTACGTGGATGCCACTACTCACAGGACCACATGCTCTCTCTGAACTCATCAGATTCTTTGTTGTTGTTGTTGTTGTTGTTGTTTATATTTCTTTTTTTAACGGGCAGAGTTGGAGTGCCCGCTCTGGATGCGGGGTGGAGTGAGTGAGTCATTGCATTGTATTAGCATTTGCCGCGTTCCAGGTGGGATGGAATGCCGTGGAAACTATTCTGTGGAATCGGACACTGGCTGTCTGGCTGTGTGTGAGTGTGTGTGTGAGAGTGTGAGTGTGTGTCATTCATTCATTCAGTCATTTGTTCATTCAGTCTCTCCCTGGCATTGTAAGTAAGGCTCTCATTGTGTGAAGTCGTATCTCCTCGTGGGTCCACTTGTTGTGGGATTGAAGTCTACTCTCTTTCCTCGTAGCAAGCTAGCAAGCAAGCAAGCGAGAGTGAGTTTGTGTCGTGTGTGTCAAGTGGGCGAGAACAACAACAACAGAGATTGTGGCGTTGCTGGGCTGTTATTGAATGGCTCTGTTTATTTTTGGTGCTTCTGCTTCTTCGTGATGGTGAGCTCGGAGGCTTTCATGCGAATGAGAAAGGACTGGCGATGTCAAGTGGGTTTGATTGATGGTGAACAGAGTACTTTGTTTAGTAGTTGTTGTAGTAGTAGAAGTAGTAGTAGTAGTGTTTTTTTTGGTATTTTGATCAGGTGGTCGTGAGGGGCGTGGTGTTTAGGGTGACTAGCTAGTGGGGTTTGAGTTTTCGAGGCTTTAGTGTGGTGTTTTCTTGGTGGTACGTGGAGCATTGTCATTTTTGCGACGTGGGTTATGAAGGCTGGAGTGATGATTCTTTGAGTGGCCATGTGATTTTGTGCAGTTGTGATCCGTGATACGTGTGTCTGTGACATCGATGTGCACGTTGATTCGCGCGCTGACTATGTCTTTGTAATCTCAACAAATGGGTTAGGTTGAGGAAATCGCGAGCGGAAGGGGTATTAATCACCATCCGCTATGGGAGCTGCACTTGCATTTGTGTTAGGATTCATTGATTCAATCTGACACCTCCTGTACTCTGGCGCGGGGTTATCAAAGTTACTGATCATGTACTTTCAGTTATACCCTAGTTTGGTCCGCAACAACCAAGTTAGTCTGCATCAACAAAATTAGTCGGCAGCGACAATGTAGAGGGAGCTGGATCTCTTTATTTTTTTTCGAGATTCTTATCCTTACGACAGTTCCCGCAGCTCTGGTGTTTTTCTAAGGGCTGATTAGATGCAGACTGAGGAACGTTTTCTCAAAATGGGTGTTGATTGCGACTCTTTTCCAAGTAGACTTGGTTTACCCTCTAATCACCCGTTAGGCCAGCCCCGTAGTAGGTCATCATCTAATCGGTTGGTGCTGGAGCGACGTCAAGAAACCCAATCCCTCCGGAACCAAGCGATCTTGAAGGCTTCAGAGAAGGCCTTGAGGGAGCGAAATCCCGAGTGTTATGAGCCCAGGCAATCCTCAAATCCGAAGTCGTTACTATCCCTTCACACCACGTCACTCTCGGACTTTCCGTCACCACCTTTGCCAGTTGCAAAATCCAAGCATTTATCAAGGTCTGCCACCTTCTCATCCCTTGAGTCGAAGACTGAGAGAAACCTCCATTCGGATTATCTCTCTGACCGATCTTCTTTTGTCAAGCTTCCGTTGTCTGGTTCAGGGTCTGATACAGGGTCCAACACCTTGAAGCCTTCAGAGAAAGAACCAAGTCTTCCAAGCTCATCTCAACAGGCTACTAGAGCAGATGGGCCAGAAATGTCTGTTAAATCCCTTTTTAGATCCTCCTCGTTTACATCTAATCGGGTCCCCATAGTGGACTCGAGTGATTCTCAGCCTACTGAAGCTCCTTCAGTAGCTACTGCTTCGGAACCTATGTCATCCATCAAATCATTTTTTAGGTCATCTAGTTTTGTGCACAAGTCGCAAGAAATTTCGAGCCCTATTGCGAAGTCTCTCTCACGGTCGCTGTCGAGCCTCTCAAACCATGGCCAAGAATCTGCGAAGGAGCAGAAAGCGGATTCATCTTCTGGATTTTCCAAATGGGCACGGAGCTTTCGGTTCAAACCTACCGCAGATGTAGGTGTTGAGATCTCTGAGTCCTCGCCATACAGTCTTTTCTCAGGGCCATCTGGAAAGCGGGCATCAGCCAAAGTGTCTCCAATCGAGGGGTTTGAAAACTCGTTCGGTGTCCTAACTAAGGGATTTATCGATTCCTCCAGAAACGCTGTTAAGGCTGTTCAAGACAAGGCACGGCATCTCGTGTCCCAGAATAAGCACTGGTACCAGGTATAGTTTAAGGTCAGCGATAACTTTCATTGTTTAATTGGGATTTGTTTCCATTTGTATTCTAGGTACCTTGTTATGTATAACTCATGAGTCGGGAACTACGTCACAGCCGTGCCAATTCATTTGCTTACAGGATGGCCAGGTCCAGCTTGATATAGCGTACATTACCGAAAATATAATCGCTGTGGGATTTCCGGGTGCCGAGAGCAGTTCCAACATTCTTGGTTTCGCTGAGGTAAATTTTCTCGAGATATTTTTTGAAGTATTAGCTTCACGATGGCTAAAGTAGTGGACGTGCGAAGTTTTGGCTAGTGCACGCGTGTATAGAGAGCCCATACATACCTAAATTGATTTCTTCTCTGGCGAGGGTACTTTTCAGGGTAATTACCAAGGCCATTTAGAGGAGCTCGTCACGTTCTGCGAGAACCAGCATCCGGTACATTGTCCTATACGCTTCTATTGGTCTTCTTCGTCTTCTTATAATTGTTCATCTTATGCATTTTGTGCAAGAAAGTATAAAAAGGAGGGGAATGAGCTTTCATTTGAATGTAGAGAACCTGATTCTTACTATTGATCGTCTTGGCAGGGCAAGTACAAAATCTTCAACTTGTGTTCAGAGAAGCTCTACGATGCCTCATTTCTTCATGACAAGGTTTGTTCCCATTTATCTTGGTTTATGCTGTCTATTTCGAGCTCCAAATTCATTAGCTCAAACGATGATGATCACGTCTATCTACGAAATATATGTGTTTACAATCTGGCACAAGTCTATTCTTTTTTACATTTTGAAAGGGTTCAATTATGACAACATCCTCAAAGATCATCACCTCGAATTCTGAAACTGATGTGAATTGTGAATGTCTCTACACTCATTTAGTAAAGTCAATGTTGTTCAATTTTGCAACTTATCGGAACCTTAACTGTCAGGTGGCGTATTTTCCCATTCGTGGCAATAATTGTCCTCTGAAGCTCTTGTCAGCATTTTGTGAGGCTGCATATACATGGCTCAAGGAAGGCCTTGAGAATGTGGCAGTGGTCCACTGTAAGGGAGGGATGGAGCGTACTGGGCTTATGACATCCTGTCTTCTCCTTCATCTCAGAGTAAGCGCATCTCTCCGTGCCTTTAGATGGAACATTGATACTATCCTGGAGGCAGTGTTTCACAATCTTGTGACTTTATTTTTACGTTTTTAGTGATTTTGAAACTTCTTAACTAGTTTCAATTTTCCCGAATCATGCAGGTGTGGAAAAATTTGTTGCAGTTTGGTTTGAACTGGATGTTTTCTTGTCATGCTACTCTTTTTGCCTACAGAATGTCTGATTTGGGGTTTGGCTTGCTCATTGTTGCAGTTTTTCCCCAGTGCAGAAGAATCAATAAACCATTACAACTTGAAACGATGTGCGGGTAGTAGCTGTTTAGAACTTCCCAGCCAGCTTGTAAGTGATCATTCTCTTCACGAAAAGACAAGGTAGAATGCAACAATTTTGATTTGTTCTGATAAGGTTTTCAATACGAATGAATGTTCTTTCCTGAATGGGAGTATTGGTGCTCACCTGTTAACTTGTGTCGCAACATGGTGTCCTGTGATTCGACAGCGATACGTGAAATACTATGAGCAGGTCTCCAAAAAATACCATGGATGTACTCCAACTGGACGAAAGTGCACCTTGAGGAGTATACGCCTCAACAACTGCCCAGCTTGGATTCGTCCAAGCGTGACAGTTTCAGATCATAATGGTACTACGATTATTTTCCGTTCTGAAAGTTCCATCTTATGCGACATGCGGATACTTTCTTTGTAAATGTATCATAAGAACTACTTTTCATGAAATAAGAACTAACAAAGTACTTGTCAATAAGTACCAGGTGTGCTGTTTGCGAGTAGGAGACATCCTAATACAAGTCTTATGCTGGTATGCTAGTTCCCCTCTCCTTGGCATCATGTGTTTTCTTTTCGTGCTTTGGAGGTGTTATTCTTCAGATACACCACCTTCTGTATTCTGTGAACTGTTAATGTCACGTAGTTACATCCTCTGCTGGTAGCCGGATAATCATACTCGTCCAATTCACATTTACACATGAGATTGAATGTTACACTGATTTCTCAATTTTCATACTATGAGCGGAGGATTAGGATTTCACACCTTAATGGTTTTGGGTATTACCGCAGACCGAAGACTTATGGTTGAGTGCCATGAAATCCGGAGTTTACGTACTTGAGCTGCCTGAAGACGGACATGCTGCTGTGGTTGATGGGGACTTCAAAGTTCACTTTCAGAACCGTCACGTTGATTTTTCCTGGTCAGCAACCCGCTTTTTAAGCTTTGTTGCTCTTTAATATTTTCCTTCCGGGAATGGTAGCGTCTCCAGTGTCATGCTTAAAAATATTAAAGAATTATTTCTTTTGTGCTGAAGTTCGAAGAATCTATTGGCTTGAAGTATTGTGGTTGTATGTTTCATGCGTTGACACACACGGTGGATTGTATTGACACAGCTGGTTGAACTCGAATATGGAAGGGAATATCATTTTTCGAGTAGAAGACCTGGATGGATTTGATAAGGTTAAAATTTCTACTCTTTGGTCATAGGCTTATTTCTGGTAACTTAATGAGCATTAGTTGACCCTATTTTATGGACTTAGTATTAAACTCTATATATAACTTATGTGGACCTAACTGAGGTAATTTTCACGTCTAACAAATATTTTACATTCTGTATACAGGAAGTACCCAACTTTGAAGTAGAACTGGAATTGGAAGATATGGATCTACCAGTTTTGAAAACTTCAACTACATGGGACCGAGATTCCACAAGCCTGAGATCTTGTTTTCCTTCTGCTATTGCATCCAGTAAAACATCTTCATGCACTGACACAGCTACAGGTGATCTGAAGTACTTCTTTTCAGGTTTTTTTTCTATTTTCGGCCTCACAGTTTGTCCAGATCTCAAAGTTTTACCTTGCGATTCGTGTTACTGCTGGCGCCTGTCTGGCATTTCAAAAACAATCTGTGTTTTTTCAAGATCGACTGATTGTCTCAGCACTAGATTCTTCTTTATATTATATAGCATTTAGATCCATTACTTTCTCCGCATGAACAGTTCAAAAAATAAAATTAGATCACCCCGTGTGGTACTAAGTGAAGAATTGTTATACTTGCGCAGATATTGAAGGAGAAGCAGAAGAATGTCTAGGGGTTTCAACCCGACCATATACAGATGAACAAGATACTATTGCCTCAACTAGCCACATGACATTGCAACTTGCACTGTCCAATGCTGTGTCAGATGTCAGCACAGGCATTTTCAATGCTGTGGACCGATTAAGAAGTCACACAAGATCCGCCAGCATGCCTAGTAGCCCTCGGCTGTTTTCTGATCAATATAACCGTGGCTTTGCACGATCTGATGATAATTCAAAAGTTGGCTGGTCGGCTGGAAGCTCTAGATTGCAAAGCTTGAATGAGGGGCTTCAGGAAAAAACCACGCATGCTTATGACAAAAGCGGATCAGCAAATATAAACTCTTTTACTTCTGGAAGAGGAATTGATGACTTCACTGTGTGCGATACAGAATTTGTAGAATTCCCTTTGGATTTTGAGAACCCCAGTTCACCCGTAAGGGTTGAAGATGAGGGTTCTTCATTTCGGATTGAAGATGATGTGAGTGTGATGTCCAGTGACTCATGTAGTGATTTTCAAGCGTTGGCTGTTGCTAGTGCAGCAGATACTTCTCTCTTCACTTTCGCTGATGAAGAGGATTACGAAAGCGACGAAATGTAATACCACGTGGTGTTCTTTGCTTAATGGAGATCCACTTGGTCATGAATGAAAAAGCCTTGTGACGGAGCCATTAGCTGGTACAAGTCTGCTGTACATGCTAATTGAATCAATTATTGGTCTTGATCTGGCTATCAAATCCTTGGTAGTAAGGGTCCTCAATTTTATTTATCTTGTCTAGTAGCTCTTGTTCCGACGACGAAAGATAACTGCATGCACGAAATCAGTAGAAGTTCTGTGTAAAGTAGATGTGACGACTAAATGAAGAGAGCATGCAACTGCTGTTTGCCATCACGTGTCAAGACTTGTGATACTCGCATCACCAAAATCCAGTTCAATTGTCCCGTAACCGTAATGAACTAGCGTCCTCAATTCCTAGAGCTTGTATATATCTTTCGCATCGTGGGAAAGCGTTTCAGTCAATTTGCTTTCTGAAGTAGTCTATGGGAGGGGTGCGGTCGCACTACCACAGGCTACTGACTTTACAAACCGCGGAAGTGAACACAAAAGGAGCACTTTGAGCATTGTACCTGATTACCGTCACATTATGTTTTCGTATGAATATGAGATTTACGAATGAAGTACGAGTTTAATACACATTAAGTAATAATACTTTACGTTAATATTAAGATTTTGGCAACTTTGTTTAGTGTACCAGGTTAAATACTTTGATTATTAATAGTTTTAGACATATTCCATGTTGAAAAAAAAGGTTGGAGGCATGCTACCTTCAAAAAGTATCTTCTACACGAACCCCCAGGCAAATACCTCAAAACCACAAAAAACCACGTTTTTGGTGGTATAGGTTCACGAGCAGTAATGATCTGTTTCCAACCATGAGGGAAAGGCTTTTCAAGCACACTCAGTAGGCATGGCAAAAAGTGCCAAGAACAGCAGCTTCACGTTCTAAGCCAGCAGACCCAACAGATTCGAACTTTGTTAGAGCGCATCGCCCTCGGCACCAATTTACTCTGAAAAAGCTCTACTACAGACTCACCTGCCGACACAATTTTCAACATCGAATTGAAGACCGGCCGTTTCTGGACGTATTTTTGTCCTCGTGAGATGCTTTTACAGATGACTATCTCCACTCTCAATCCATTCCAGCAGACACGAAGACGTAGGCATCTCTTGATCAACCATGTTTTGAAAATCATGAATGTCAGCTTCAGCATCTTCACACATTACTTGTTGCCAATTGGCGCTCTGCGATGCCTACAGTGGGATTCAAATAGTAATGACAGATCTTAACGCGTGATTCATCAGAGACGCGAAGTCCTTCATGCTTAGAAAGAGTCGAACAAACTTAAGAGAGTTTATCAATCGTATACCAAACCGAGCGCGTAGTTGCTCCAATCTGTCAACCAACAAAATTAGACTTTTAACATTTGACACCGAACATTTGCAAGCTTTGAACCACCCCACATGTACAGCACGTGACCGCGGTTCAAGCATTAACTCACTATTCTCCTCGATCCCGCAAAATATTTCGACAGAAAGCAGCGAAGACCAGTGAAAGGCGGAGGTAGCAGTGCAGAGAGCAGGGACCTACACAACAAGTTTTGAAGCACCTGGCAAAAACTCCGAGGAATCAACACATATAGTTAAGGAGCTCCGGGTAGAATCCCACCCGTCGCAGTCTTTTGTGAAGGTCTTATTCAACTGTATATCAGATAAATGCCGTGAATGTCTCCTACATAGAAAAATGCCTCGTAACATTCAACGGTCCCTATCACTGCTTTCTAGAATTATAATCAAATTCACTACATCCCGCTAATCTGAAGTGCAAAAGTGAGCTGTACAAAACCCCCATGTAGAGAATCTTATTGATGCCGAAAATGCAATAGCGGATTCCAATTTAGAGCGAACTAGTGACTGGTAGAAGTCGGTGCAACAGTAGGACAGTGTAACAACGGTCGGCAAGAAGAAAGGGTTCAAGTCCACAGGCAAATACTCTAAAATTTTGCCAAGTCAACAACAACGACGACTACGTTTCATGTCTCCAATCCTTCAACCATGTCTAGGAAAGTGATCACCCTTCCATGGAGATTTTTCCTCATGAAACTCGCCAGGGATTCGTGGCACCGCCAGAATCCTTTCTTTCCCGTCAAATTAACTCTTTTCATTGTACTCTGAAACCTTTGAAATCACCTAACTAGTCAACTCTACTACTAAAAAAATAGATGAAATGGCTAGCTAAGTAAACTGGTGCAAAGTGTACCAGAATCGTCATAAAGGAACGTATAATTGCTCGCCCCCACATACCTCCAGTAACAACCATCGGTACCGTGGTAAGCATACCATTGCTCGGTAGATGCATACCCGATAACTCCCCCCTCAGTTGGAATGAACATCTGCCCTTTCGAATGCTGCTTGTTGTCCAATCTGCTGAAGGAGCTTTGCCCGCTGCCAATGCTGGACTGCCGCTCTTGCTCTCCCCTCCATCCATGGCGTATTCCAGCTTCCACAAAGGTCGTCTTATTCGGATATTCGATTTGGTCGTAGAAGAGTTGGAGGGGGAAAGCATAGGATCGATGCTCGTACACTAAGTCTCGCGCCTCGGCTTTCACAATGACAGTGCTATCCATCTTGCTGTTTTGGTTGATCGTGCTGCAGAGGCCGTCATCGGTGTATTTGAGGTAATTGGAGAAGTGAGAGATATAGGAGGTGGTTGTTGTGAGGTTGCCGAAGGATGACTTTAGGTAGCCTTTGTAGGAGAGCTCCCTTGAGGCTTTGTTGTGGAAGGTGCCGTTCAATCCTTCAAATTTGGACATGATGTGGGATGTGAGAGCAGGTGCAGAGTGTTCGAAGAGTTCGCCTGTTGTGGCATTTGTGGAGTGGTCCAGCCAGAGATGTAAATTTGCCGAGACAAGCCAGTAGGGTATTGCATTCGTGACAGTGATGCTGAATGTGTGGTTCTGGTCATCGACGAGCTTGCCGAGAAATGACGTTACCTCGACGTTGTAGGAGGGAAGAGCGAAGGAACCAATGGCAGAAATGGGGCGCCAGAAGTAAGGATTCACGCCGCCCGTGTAAAGCACCGGAAATGGGTTAACCATAGCCGCAAGGAGACCATCGATCGACACGAGAACCTCACGGAAAGTGCCATTTCCTGGAATTTCTTCAGTGAGGTTATTAGCGTTGAGGTAGTCATCTGGCGGATTGGTGTACCAGAATTCGTCGGAGCCGTGAGGGGACACGCAGACCTCAAGCACAGCCTTGTATGCATTTCGCGGAATTTTGATCTCTTGTGTCCGCAAGTCACTCTCGTTTTGGAGCTGGAACCAATGTCCACCGTTAAGAGGTGACGACTCGGCGAATGGTAGAATCAAGTCCGCGACTCCGCCATAGCTCTCCCGGGAATGTTCGGCTTCCCCAACAGAGTAGTAATGAGCTGAGAGTGTCACATTGAACAGCCCTGTGTATTTTTCATTCACGACATTGGCGAGCATGACAGCGAGCAACTGGGGTGCTTTGAAGACGGACGCGAACGGAGTCACATCTTTCTCCACGCTCCATTCAATTCCTTGTGCAGTCGGCTCAGCAGTACACGTTCGGAACACCTCCACCCCGCCGAGCCATACGGCAGAAATACGATCAAACTGGCGTCCCCTTGATGTAGCTTCCCATCTCAAGACGATCGCGGTCCAGTCCTCACTGATGCAATCCTGCGGCGGCTGGTACTGGGCCAGTGTAGGAGGTTCATTGATCGTGTTGCCGAATACGTGCTGCAACAGGATTTGGGAACAAACCTTGTGAGCGCCCTGAGGTAAGTCAACGGGTTTTGTGACCTCAAAAAACTCCTGCTTCTCTACGTCGTCTTTTTTATAGTCAATCGATTCACCCGATAAGTGTTGTTCAAAGCTTCTTCCCAATCGCCAATTAGGAAAACCAGCACTGAAAACGCCAGGGCTGTTGATGATAGTCAAAACAAGTAACAACACATGCACGGGACCCATTCTGTTGCTCATTTTTGCGAGGCAGAATTGCATAAATTGATGCCGAACTACACTCGACAGAGATGCATAGCCTTATCAGGGAATTACAGCTTGCGTCGTTAAACCTGCACAACCTTTGTATCAATGTCATGAAAACTAATCAATATCTCACCCAGGTACCACAGCCACGAGAAGATTCAACCGGCGCCTTCAATATTTGACTCGGTACAGACTCCTACAAACACACTGAAGCACGAAGAGACCTTTTAACAAAAGAAAAAGCATCTTGTAGCAGGCGCTTGGAAATGCCTGCAAACCCTAGAAGGTGACTCAATCCATAGCGTCATGACCAATATTTAGAAATCCTGTCATTTGTTTCTCAACTGACCAATGTTCATGATTGTGCCAGGGGCAACCGACTGGATAGAGCAATGGTAATGGTCAATGTAGCTGCAAACTTTCAAGTTGCGCTGCTTTGAAGATTTCTGATTTTTTTTTTTTTTTTTTTTTTTTTTTTGCAGAAACAGGGTTCTTCGACGAGGACAGATGAACCATCATAGCTAATCCAACACAATTCCACAAGAATTCAACCATCATCGCCGACTCTCAGTGCACAAATTTAAGCAGAATCGTAAAAAAGATTTTCCCAAAACACTAAGATTCGTTGAACCTACAATGCGTTGCAGAGCGAAGGCTGCGAGTCACCACAACCATTTCCATTCTACGTATACGTTTCTTCTCTAGATTTCTTTCCCTGCCCAGATTCAGCCAATCATCGTACCCCGCGAAAGCATGCAAGCAAATCACCACCAAATTGTGAATCTTCGCAAAACCAAGACTACGCAGTATCATTCAAGAATTTGAAACGAGCCCAAACTGAACTTGATCAGAATTCTAGTTCAATCTTCATACCTCCAAGGGAGAAGTGGCTGCAATCCTCCAACCTGGACCCCACATCGACACCCCTTCACGCTGTTTCAAACCCCGATCTGTCCCCAACAATCTTCATCCTCCATCTTACAAACTCCGACCGCTCTTTCCCTCTCGTTCCCACGACTGGATCTGATTCTGCAGCTGTTGGTTTCGTGGGTCACCGAGAGAGCAAGCAGAGGAATCTCGTGGGTGACAACGACGCAGGACAAGCACTCGTGAATCACTGCGCGACGCGCGACCCAATCTCGGAATTTAATGGCAAGGGATATGCGACCAAGCGACGAAACCCACTTACAAAATAAATAAATAAAAATAATACAAGAAAACAGAAGAAAGAGAAAAGAAATTAGAGACAACAGCAGCAGCAGTTGTCTCTGAAGAAGCCGTGCAATAACTGCGGGCTCAAAATTATTGCTGCAACATCATTGCGAGGAGGAATTAACCCATTATACCCCATCACATGCACAATCCCCCTTAAGAAAAATGATTTGTGGGTTCTTCGCAACAACATCAACAACATCAACAACAGCAATCAAATGTTGGATTATTTTGCAAAGCCTCGACAGGATCTGCAACGAAGCGCTATCAATTTTCTGTCACCAGGAATCCAACCTTCTTCGCTTGTTTAAACTGCGTTGAATCTCTCTTTTCAATCTAGACACAATCCAGTGGGTCTTGTTCTATAGATCACTGGCTTCGGACCTGATTCGTTGAACTGGGATGATGTTGTAGGATTTGGTTTTAATGAGGAAATTCTTTTGCAAATTTGTATTACGGCAAAAACCATAATTCCAGTGAATATTTTTTAGTGTATTTTTATATCATTTTCTAGTTGGAATTGAAAACCAAATAAATCATGCCATTATACAAGAGCGGACGTTGCTCAAACATGTGAGAAAGTTGGAGTAATGAATGACCCATGGAGATTTGAAGTAGATAAAAGGGTTTTTTTTAGTTTGAAAAATGGTAAAAGTTGTTGAATCTTAAGACTTGCTGTGGACATGTGTGAAGGTTCAGCTTTTACCATTTGTTTATTTAGCAATGCAAATGGTGAACAAGATAAGTAGACAATAATAAGTATTATCAAAAACTGATAAAGAGAATGCATTTTGAAAAGAAAAGAAAAAACATAAAAAACATAAAATAAATAAACATTATTCATTCTGTACTGAATTTGCAATAGTAGATTCTATATGTATTCAAATAGAATAAATCGTGAATAAGTCTTATATTTTTATTTTAACATAGATGTATCATTAACTAAAAACAAGAGTGCATCAAACTTTTATAATAATTAATAAATTCCATTTATATGTTCAATGTTTGTCATATAAAATGATTATTCATATGGGTTTATGAAACATTTAATTCATGTGTTTTTTTTGCTATTTTTTTATTGAAATAAAAAATGTTGATTATTATAATTTTCTATGTATCGAAAATATCCATAAAACAATGTGATTCTTTTCATTTATTATTGTAAATACAATGACACACAAGATTTTATTTATTTATTGTAGTTTATAGCATATTTTTTTGTTATACCAAATATTTCATGTGTATATGTGTGTATATATATATATATATATATATACACACACACACACACACACACATATATATATATATATATATATATACATTCATATTCATACATGTGCATTTAAAATGAAATAGCCATGTTCAAGATTCTTTGACAAGTAAGAATTCGTATTTTATTATAGTTACAAAGTCATCACAAATGTACACAATCAAGTTGCTTTAGGATGATTCTAATATACATTATAAATTTTATGAGAACATATTTGACTTTTAGGTACTTATTCGTACAATGTTCTTTGAAATAAAACTAAAAAAAATTAAGGAGCATGTATAATTTGATTCTTATCATTATTCAAAATGTTAAAGATCCATATAAATCTATTTAATTCATATTATTATCAATTAACTTCACAAAAACATTATTGCCATTTCCATTCAAAAAGTTGTTCATGCATGTAGTGGAACGGATACAAAATACATTTACACAAGTCAATTTTTTTTTTTTTTGAAGTGATGATCAAATTTAGAAGGTTTCAATTTGAATAAAGAGTACCTCCCTCCTGAAATAACAAGTTAATTCAGGTCTCTCATGAAGAAAATGATTCACAACGTAATCGATCGTGTGCTCTAGGCCATCAAGGCAACTAAGTTACGAGGCGCTGTATTAACCGTTTAATACAGCGTGTATTAACCGGTTAGCATCCTAATACACATGCTAGCATCCTAATTACACAAACTCAATGCGTACTAATCTCATATCTACTTCCAAATACACTCTGAAAGCCTGAGCATCAACCACATGATTCCATGAAGGAAATATATCTGCATCACAAAATCACTACCGCTTCAAGTGTCTTAAAATCACACTTCCCTGAAGCCTCAGTCAACAACACGAATTGCATCTAAGAAGACTGCAAAGAGTTACTATGGAAATTGCAAGGGCTGAGGAAGATGATACTCCAGGGTGTCGTTAAGAGAGTGCAGAAATCCTCATAGCATGCACTACAAGTCACGCAGGGAGGGTGGAGGGGATTTCCAACAAGAGCAAGGCCGAATAGTCATGTACAAATAACACCAAAAATGAGCACGGGCGACAGATTCCGCAACTCTACCCAAAGCACCACCAAGAGGAGCCCTGCTTCTTCGGCTGCGCGTTGGATTTTCCATAGGGATCTCCAGTGCCACCGCCACCGGAGGCGTTCCCTGCCTGTGGATCTGCAGCAGCAGGGCCGCCCTTCTTCTCCTTGCTAGCAATCGTGAACATGACGGTGAAGTTAGGGTCCGTCCCACCAGCGGTATCCCAGTTTCCGAACGTCGGAATGTGACTAGCACCGTGTAAACCTTCATCGTTCATGGGCTTGGTGCTGCCACGCCCTTTGCCAGATCCATCTGTGCCTCGCCCTCCTCCTCCTCCTCCACCTACCCTCTCCCGACCTGCTGGCTCTCGCCCCCCCCCGGCTCGTCGCGGTGGCGGTTGTCTCTCAGATCCCATAGACTGGCCACCCTCCTGAGACGAGCGGACGTTCCTGTCTTGATTCCCTGCGCCCCGTCTTGGCGCTGGATCTGCCATTCTTTTCCGTCTCCCTCTAGAGCTTGAACTGCCTCCGAACCTGTACACACTGCTACGTCTCGGCGGTGGACCTCGCCCTGGAGCTCTTAGTGCTCATTGTATCGAAGGCGGACAGGAATTTCCTGCTTTGTATCCCCTAACCCGGCTTTCTTGCCAGCACGCGTGAGTGTGAAAACCGTCCAAGAAGTTATCTTGACCACCTCCAAACCATGGCACATGACCAGCCATTTCGATCGGCCCCTCCTGGCACACCACAGAGAGAGTAGCTGTCAGAGCGGTCCCATTCGGAACATCCTTCCAGGTGCCCATCTCCCCACAAATCGTCTATTTCAAGGCTGAGTACTCGAGAATAGCGTTTCCGAATGGGATCTGCGTGACGATTCTAGAATTTCTAACTCATTTCCGTCTTGAAGGTGGTGCCACTGCCGAAGAGGCGTCGGGCTGTTCGCATGTGTTGGGAATTGACTGGATGGCCACCACCTACCTCTTGCCCAACGGGAATTCAATATAAAAGCACTGAACCAGGATCTCTAAGCAAAATCCAAATCTCGGTTTATCCGCTTCGAAACGGTTTATCTTCTCTTCAAAGATATGTAAAACGATTCTTCATTTGTGTGCTCCTTTTGAAATATCTTTTACGAATCCTTCAGAAGTTCAGGTTAAAACTTGGCTCTGATTTAACGAAAGCCTTCCTACCACTCATTTGTTTTTCATCTTCTACTTTCTACTTATCTTTTTTATATACCTATATATGATCTTTTTCTTTTTCTTCTCTCTCTCTATCTCTCTCTCTCTCTCATAACTATTCCATTTTGATGCAAACACTGAGGTGTTTTCTGTTCCACCACACAAGTTTTTATCATTTGTGTGTAAAGTAAAACTCAGTTCTACCTTGCCTCGCAAAGCGAAAGATTTACAGGTCCAAGTCCTATGTACAGTGTCGTTCTCGCAATTGGACCTTTCTTCCATGAAATGTGCAACATGAAGGCGCACGTCATTGAACTAACATTTTATAATTAGGAGAGCATACGAGAAATTATAATAAAACAACTATATTTTTTTGTGGTGTAGGTAAAATACTAGAATTAAATAATGAAGAAAAAATAATATGAAATATCAGTCAACATATGTGTGTATGTGCATGTGTGCGTGTATATATATATATATACAAATATTTGTGTGTGTGTGTGTGTTTCTCTGTATATTAACCAACAAGTCTGCTCCGCAATGCATGACTTCAACATTGAGGGAGTCCTAGGAGTGATCCGTCCCCAGCCCCTCATAGCCCTAGACTAAGCACAGCTCGTGTGCACGAAAGTTGGTGCCCGTGCGGACGCAGTGAGAATATCCCAATAGAGCCCTGAAAAGTCAGCAATCCACCTCGGGACCTGCGCCTCATGGGCAGAGTGTCTGGCACAGCGCAGCCGAAGTCCCCTGATCCAACTCCTCGAAGCTGCAAAACGATGAATAAAAAAGCGCCGGCGTGACAATTGCAGGTAGAAAACGGTGAGAAGCGCATACCACCAGGGCGGATCTAGACACAACACAACACAACTATGAATCCTTGCATCGTTTTGTTTCACCACCTGGTTGATTGCCTTCTGATTCTCCTTTGCGGTTGGATTTTCGGCACCGGAGTTTCAGTTTTAGGTCGATGAGTTGGCTGGTTGGATCAGTTGACTTTGCACTGTTTGTCGATTCTCCCTGTCGATGATGAACGTTGGGTGCGTCAGTGCCAGAGGATAGGTCAACAGCTTCATCTTGGACAGCCATGGCAGGGAATGCTTCGTTGCGTTTCTCGCCTATCAGCAGTGTATTGAATAACGCATCACCTCTGCCCCTCTCCTGCCCACGCTCACAAACTGGGCGACAGTGCGAGTGACGGAAGTGGAGAAAGAATTAAATTCTTCTGTCCTTTGTAAAATTGTGTTCGTTTGAGGGAAAACATGTCTTTCACAGCAGTTTGATGGAGACTTTGGCCCATACCAAAGACAGCGACGCTTCTGAAGTTGAAGAAGACCCTGCACGTGAATCATTGTAAATAATGTGCAACCATCACTGTGTACTTTTACGTCTCATGTTTTATCTGAGTCTATAAACGTAATTTATTCAACTCTTGATAGTATCAATATGGAATTACTACGGTTTGTTTTTCTTTTAACAAATAAGCGCTAAATCCTCAAAAGTCTCGGTGTCATGATAACAATGAAATGGCCATTCTTTTACCAGCAATGAGGCTGTAAATGTGCAGACCTGGCAACAAGCAAACCCAATCATGCTTTAACAACACATCTGTGGCACTTGCCATTTGTTTCGTATCCGTTCTTTCATTGTTCTCTTCTTTTAAACAAAATCCTTGTTGCATCGAAACTCCCACCCCCCGTTTTCACGTGGGGATGAAAGCAAGCCTTGCTAAGGAAGGCACCTTGGCATCCCGCTCAGAGTTTGAGGAGTCACGACGAATTCAAGCACTGGGATAAGATCCAGACGAGTTCTTTAGTTCGCTGCATGGATGGGAATGCTCTCCGTTCTGAAAATTGCGGAGGAATACAGCAGAAAGTGCTGCACAAGTGGCCGATTTCACCGGGAGTTCTGTCGGCCACACTTACCTCGGCGACGTACGATCTCTAATCCATGTTTATCGACAGTGACGACTATTCCTCCAAACCAATTACATTGATGAAGATGGTACTGCGGTCGCGCGCAAAACTAGCACGTGATGAAAAGAAACCGAAACTGCAATACCCTCATATCGCACGAACTCTGTTGGTAGCTGATGGATGTTTCGGCCTACTGATCGTTGCTGGTGGCGGAATCAGCCACTGGGAAGGAGTCTAGTAACGCTTAGGGTTTCGTTTGGCACCACGTCAACGACGGTGGGACCATAATCCCAAATATGGAACCATGGGAAACGACCCAGGATCTTGCAAAAGGATCTACGCGCACTCGTTTTAATGCCACTCTGGACCTGCGTCGACGACTGATCTTATTCACCATCTAAATACAGGTCTCCCGTTGAGGCTTCGTGCAATCCGACTTGCTCCTGCACCTGGATCTGAATCTGAAAGGTCTGTGGACGCTATCGGAGTCCAGAAACATGGTGGGATGGAGCTCCCGATGCTCGCAAGGTAACGCATCTGCAGACGAGTCTAGTTTTCCAGCGCATTCTCCGAAACCTTCGCCAAGTAGGACTTCAGCACAGGAACTCCACTCTGCAAGTTTCAACGAGCAATTGCCCACTTGGCGACTAGTGCCCCGAAGACCAATGTGCACCTTGCCGACAATCACAACATTGGGAGAAACTTTCTTTCAATTAAAACAACGCATCGTTACTCACTAGAACCCAGTTTCTTATCAGGGCTTCTAGACTATTGCGGCATTGAGGCATCAGTAGGGGATATGTGGGAACAAAGCATGCAATCATGCATGCCTAGTGGGCAAAATTCTAGACTTGAATTCAGCACATGTGATAGATCATGTAGACTGCAGACGGAGCTTCTGTTTTGTTTTTGTTTTGTTTTGTTTTGTTTTTTTTTTTCGAAGTGGACCAAGTCTTCTTAAGTATATTCACCAGCAGGATTCAGTGGGCCACTTTGCCCTCCACGTTCCGTATCAGAGATACTGGAATCAAGTGTGCTCCAGTTTACCCACGAAATGAAGCCAGAAGATGAAGAAGATGAAGAAGAATGTTGCGGTTTCGCCATCGAAACCTACACAATAGGGTTCAGAGCTGCAAGTTTTCACTTCATAAATGTGGAATTCCTGGCGATGAGTCCGTTTTGTGTTTAGAACTGAAACGTTTCAGTTCTCATACAATGGACAAATCATTTATAGATTTGATTAAAATTGGTACTTATAAATGTTTTTAAGATTAAAGTTTTAAAAATTCAAGTAGACTGGTAGTCCTTTTTAACGTTACTTCTTCCACCGAGTAATAATAGATTGTTTGTAACTTTATGACGTGCTGGAGTTGTCCAAACTGGAAATAAATTTACGTAATTGTTTTTGATTAATTTGTTGTATGGTTGTACAAATTATGTAATATTATATTGTGAATTCTATTATCATTTCATATGGGTTTTGTAATCCAATATTTACCAATAAGTAGAACTATTCTACTTAAGATATTAGAAATTTTAATACATTTCTACAAACAAGAAATTTGGTCATTGATATTTCTAGACAAGAAATATCTACTTTCATTTTATGTTTGTCAAGATAAAATGGTTTCTTATTTTTATATTTTTATATACTCTCTTATGAACTAATGATGGATGTCAAAATACTTGATACATTAATGATCTCTTAGATGTTTTGCAAATTCTATGCACAATGTGTTATTTAAATTTATGAAGAACTTCAATAGTTTTTTTTAATAATAATTTTATATTTAAAAGTCACAAATTATTTTTGTTACAAGTACATGTTAAGCTTTAAGAAAAGATATTATCATTATTTTTTATTATTATTTTGATTTTTTAATTCTCTTTCTAGACTATAATACCACATTATCTTCTAATTCAAATAAAAGCTTATAGAACCTTCTATTCTATTTTAGAATATTCATTGGTATTTTAAAAAATTCAAAAATTTCTATAATCTTTTTTAAAATATTGATACCTTTTGTTGTCATCCAAAACCTTCTTTCCTTTACCTAAAAAATCTTTAGACTTTTAGGACATTCTAGAGCTTTTACAAATTTTTCTTAGAATTTTCTATAAGTATTAGTTGCTACAGTACAAGTGAGACAAGACAAGAGATACTTCAATTGTTCCTATACAAAATTTGAAGCAATCTAAATATGTTTTTGTTCTTAATCTTGATTCTAATCTGGTATCTTGATCTTTTTAAATTTCTTTGTTGTAATATTATTTTCCATTGTCTTTTTGATACCATCTACATGTGTAACAATTTTTCTAGAAATCAAAATAATACTTCATTACAAATTATTTTTTCTTCACTAGGTTTTTAATGTTTAGAAGCTTATAAAATAATCACAAATCTACAATATTTATCTATATTTTTTTTTATAAATTATTATTATGAAAAATATAAAAATATAAAATATAAATGAGAGTTTATAAAAGAAAATAAACAAATACTTCATAAATAAGATAAATATTTAAGATGTAAAAATCTCCTAGAATTTAGACTTTACATGATGGACTAAATAACTGAAATTAAGTTTTAAAGAGATGTTTGGCTACAACATTAAGATAAAACCTAAAATTATAAAAGATCCTTAAATATTGTATTTAGAACTAAAATCCATTATAATCTTAATGGAAAGGGCATAATATTTTTAGAAATATACATACATATATATATATATATATATATATATATATATAAATCTGAAAAAACATATAAATATTTAAAATTATTATCTAATTTAATTTTTTAATAGAAAAATTTTAAAATCCTTATACTATCAAAGAAAACTAAGATACTTTTAAATACTATAAGTATTTCTAAATAATTAAAAACATTCTCTAAGTAATGCAGCATAGTGTTTAAAATTAACATAATTCATCTCTAATAAAATTTGTATCTACAATTGTTGGAGATTACAGATTTTATTTATTTATTTATTTATTTATTTTTGGTAGTTTATGTATTTTTCTTGCATGTTGTTAGTAATTTTTAGATATAGTAAAATAAAAAATATCCAAGAAAGATTCAAATATTTCTAATTTTAAAAATAAAATTTTATTAACTAAAATATTATAACATGAAATTTTTATATTTTTTGAGTAATACTTAACCCTATATAGTTAAAGGTGGCTTTAATTATCACAAGTTATTTTTAACCCTATATAATCAAAGTAGTCAAATCTTTTTAGCCATTTATTACATTTTTTTATTGAATTAACAAAAAAAGTATTTTTTAAAAACTTTTGTTCATACCAAAAGTTATTACATCATGATTTAACATGAAATATTATTAAACTTCAAATCGAATTTTTTTTTCCAAATATCAAAGTGTCACTTAGTAGAACATTTTATTTTATTTTATTTTATTGTATTTACTTGTGCTCATTAATTTTAAATATCATGATATCAAATTTGTTAAAGATAATCAAAGTTCAACATTGAATGATTGATTATTATGCCTTTTATATATTACATTCAACCACCAAAAACTATTCAGCTATGTAAGACACAAATATTTTGGTACCCTCCATTTGATATTTTGATACCCTGTAAAACTCTCCACACCAACACCACACCAAATGAACCAGTTTTAGGGTTCAATCAACACCCTAATCCCTAAATAAATAAATAAATAAAGCGTTAGCAAAGACATAAACTTGTGTGAAGTCTATCTTCTTGTTCCTACCTACATTGGCTACTTTGAGTTTTGAGCCTTTCCTGAGTAAACCGTCTTTACGTTCTTCAAATGTCACCATACCGCTGTTGTAGGTATCCATGGACATCATGAGTCAGCTATATACTTAAGCTGCCGTTGGATACCTTCAAGTCAGGAGAGCCAAAGTAGTATTGATTTTTTTTTATCATACACTCAAAAATGAGAGAACAAGAGATGAATTAGCCCTTGCCTTATCTCAACTGCCATAAACATGTCTAGAGACAGGGGCAGGAAATTGCCGTAAAACTTCTAACCAAGGTTTCTCTACAATCAGCACGGAATTACGCCCAGTGTGTCCTAAAAACAAAACTGGGTTCTTCATATTCACCACCACCAAGCTCTTGCTCTCGCTACCGTTGCTGGTCACCAAGGTCTTGCTCTCCCTAACACTACTAGTCCTAGAACTACCTTCCACAAGTATACCATTCGAATTCGCACCTTCATGCACTTTGCCATTACTAATTGCTTTTGGACCTTTACCGGACTCTTCATCCATTGGGCCTGCTTCATCTCCAATTGGTTGGCTGAAGTCGATATGACACATTGCACTGCAGATCAACCCTAAAACTGTAAGTACAGGGAAGATCTCCACATTGAACTTACGACGAGGTACAAGTAGAGCTATGCGTAGACACAACAACAGATTGAAAAAAATCACAAAGCAAATATCTTTATGAAGCGAAGCGGGGAGACTAGGGTACCTGGAGCTATAAGCAATGATAGATGTAGACTTCGGATGTGAGGGTAGCGAAAGCCCGATGATTGTACCCGGAAAGTCCTGCAATTTCTTTGCAATACGTGCTCCATTGCGTCGTGACCACTGTCCAGGGGCCCTCACTTCGACGTCTAGAGCGTGAATCTGATTAGCAGCACTGCTCACAATAAGAACATTGTTATTCCCTGGATAAAATACCATAGCTGTTGCAGGGGTTCCATCAAGAACTGGTACTGTCCACTGGTGCCTGCATAATCAAAACCCAAACAACCATCTTAGCACTAATGCTTGCAGTCCGTGTTGAAGAAATAGGCTGCAGACTACATAGAATAGGATATAACTCACAAGAAAGCATCCAGGTAACAACGCAAATACCTCATAACTTCCAAATTGAAAACAGCGATGTGCCCTGTGCTCGATGCAGCAGCTAGCCATTGCCCATCAGGACTAGTGCACATTATTTTTACAATCCCATTCGCCCATCCAACATTGTTATGCGAAGGAACGTGAAAAGTATGGACCAGTTCTGCACTGCTTGAATCCATAACCTGTAATATAATCAAGACATTATTACAATTTAGAAGCGATGCACACCAATGGTAAAGCCAACTTGCATTCTACTGTTCATTTCATCTTCAATTCCAACAAGAGAAAGACAGTTGGCCAAAAAGCTATTACAAAATTACGACCATGCCCAGTATTAAGAAATTTGAATGAAAGTAAGTAGTTCAAAACAAGATCCGATAGAACCAACAAGACTTACCCAAATAAACCCTTGAGGTCCTGCCACAATCAAACGGCTGGAATCCGCATTGAAAACCATGCAGTGGGCAGCTTGTAAAACCGCAGGAAGCTTCTTCCTTTTGATTTGAAACAATTCACTAGCCCCCTTACGCTCTAGCACGTAGAGACGGGGCCTCTGGCTATCGGCGAATGCAACTAGGTCACCTTTGCCTGATATAGCACTGCATACAATGTGCTCACTCGAATTTATCTTGATCGTAGCTAGAAGCGCTGGTGGCGTGCCAGAGGCTTTTCCTTGAGAATAACGAGGGGAATTAATAGACTCTACCGGGAACGACTTTCTTCGTCCATTCTGTGTGTGAGCAGACCCATTGCTATGCAGTATCAATGCTTTAGAATCACTACCTGAATCAGCACCTCCATCCCACTTCCGCTTTCCCAAGACGGAATGTCCATTTTGACTGTAAACACCATTTGCAGATCCAATAGCTACTGAGTTTTCGTTGTAAATCTTCCAAATATCAACTCTATTGGAATGCTGAGCCATCATCAAAGTACCTCCAATAAGGGAGGAATGCTCCACAAGCTGGATGAAGGGCCTTTCAGGACAAGGACATACATCGTGAGGATGGAAAGAAAGAAATCCATTCGCAGGATATGTGAAGAGTTTTGCGTCGTTACCACCAGAAATTAACATTTCAGTGTGTGCACGGGCCCATTTCTTGTGATCATTTGGAGCTAAATTTGGATTTTCTTTGGTTCGCCGCCTTTTCACTTTGTTTTTTTCCCCATTGTCCATCTTCGTTCCAGACTTATCTGATCACAAATCAAAGTTGTAAGACAAATGCTACCTGAAGAATCCTATGAACCATACCACATTGAGCTGTTGGATGGTCAGATTACATCCATGCAAAGTGCATATATCTAACCGTTTAGAAGATAAAACCTGATAATCCACCCCCAACAAGCCATAAAATAAGCCGGCGAAAAACGGACAAGGAGTACCTGCAGGTACAGGCGAAGACACGATAGGAGTGGCGATGGTGAGGGCCCTCACGTCGTGGGTATGTGTTCGCTTGCTGCCCACATAGACCCATTTCTCACCCGAAACACCTCTTGCAACGTCAAGAGCGTCTGATGACGAAGCATCCAGCCGTTGACTCTCACCCACTTTGTGAAATAGTACCACCTGTTTCATGCCACACGCGTTACTGAAAATGAAAAAGGTAAGTTAAAGTACTCTCAAATACGGAAGGTGTATTCTGATCCACGAAACGCCGTAATACTGGATAAAACCGAGAACGAAGCTCACAAAAAACCTCGAATGACAAACTGCTTCAGGAATAAAAAAATATTTTTGGAAGAAAGGTGAACCTTTCCATCAGCTCCTGCGGCAAAAACATTGTTACGAGAGGCAGCTAAAGCCAACACATCAGCACCGTGCCGAGTCTGAGATTGCAACAGTGTGCCAAGTTGTCCGTCCCAAAACTGAGTGCTCCCACTGCTATCACCACTAACAATGTCTCCATTCCTGTGTAACCCGATACAATAATATTAACGGATTTTAATCGAAGTTCCAAGTGTAACTCATACCAATAGGACATTTCTCCTGATAGAGGCACTAAAAATCATACTCTAAGTAGTCTAGTGTTGAATTCTATACCTAAGTATCAAGGAATATGAACATAATATTAAAATCGATGCTAATGGAATACTCATTAAAAACTTCAGGAGGTAAAAAAGTATTCACCTTAGAACCAACAAGGACCAAATACACAAATCAGAATCCCTCCCTTTGCCTCCGATGCCAGCAGTGATTCGATAAATTTCTCTAGTATTAGCAATATCCCAGCACCTTATGCACCTGCAAAAGCACTGCGATAATTACTCACTCGGGATTGCAACCGTTACTTCAAAATCCCGACTGGAGATCTGTCAAAGAAACTGAACCATGGTTTTTGGCCCAAATGTTCATCACATCATGATGTTCAGACTTTCAAAAGAGACAACACGTAACAGCAGCAAGAACTGATGACTGAAGTTTATACTGCAACAAGTTGATGACACAAACAAGTACATACTCACCCATCAGAACCACCTGCGACTAGCCTTTCACCATTCCATGACCATGCGACACTCAAAATTCGCCCTGAGCATTAGAGCACGTTAAGGTTGTGAGAACCGAGTATAATTACACGTGGAAAATAACAAACAATTGGAACGAAGTGGATGATGGTTGCGTGGCATTATGAAGATGTACGTGCACACAGGGACGATTCGACCCTGGACATTACCTTTCACTCGAGGGAATGACTTCCGATAGACAAGGCCATCCTTTGAGTTGCCCACTTCAAATATTCTTACAACACCATCTTCACAAGCTAGCGCTACTCTTTGCGGTTTCCTTTCAACCTCGTCATCACTATCACTGCTGCTACTGTTTCCCTCATCGTCACTGTCATTCTCCTCACTTCCCCGAATTCTATTGTCGGAGCTTCCATTCAAGCCCTTCGGAACTACCGCGTCAATGTGCTCAGCAGCCAAATGCCATATAGACCCTCCCATAGACTCCACGACCGCCTGCGATGAAAGAAGAAAACTTTAGAGCCAGTATTCCCAAGATTATTTTCTGTATACTGAATTAAAGCATTCGAATTTTCTGATCAGAAATAAAGGTCATGGTTAGTGAACAGCCAAAATCCATTACAACAAGCGCTCTCACCCTCGGTTGGAGAGTTTGAAGATCCCACTCAGTGACCAAGCCATCCAACCCTGCGGAGAACAATCTGCCCAGAGGGGACTCATCCTCCTCCAGGGACTGGCACCATAACAAGGACGAAATAGCTGCACCTTGTCTCCCTGGGATGATCTGCAATCAACACATCCAATAATTAGAATATGCGATCCAGTCCTTATTTGTGGTCACCAATTTCCCATCAATATTTACACACTGAATTTTCCGCAACAAAACACCTGATCTTGTGGCTAAAACCCTTAAACCCTCAAGTCTCTCATTGTGATTTTGAATAATCCATATAATCCTCTTCATTACGTTGCCGGTTCTTCGTAGTTTGAACTGTGATGCGCAGAATCAACAATCTCCATACCAAGCAATCAAAGACAACTACCATTCGTTAGCATAACATGAATTCTGAACTGTAAGCGGCTTCAATTTTCAAGTGCATGTAAACACTATCGTAGCTTTAGAATAAAGACTTAAGACCCGTCTTCTTCCACGACAAGTTGTGTAAGCACGAAACAAGTGAGCATCACAAGCCAGAGCCACCCCAACCCTAAACCTAAATTTGACATGGGCAAGGAGCTAGGAAAAAAGAGTAACAAGCACGTACCAATTGGCAATGCCATCCTAGGGACCCAGCGGCAACACTCCAGATCTCTATAGCACCGTTCTCCCGAGCAACAGCTACAGCAGCCCCATTTATGCTGGTGGCAAGTGCAACTACAGCGCTTGGGGACCACTCAATCTGTCGGCATCTGTGCACTTCCAGCATCGTGTTGAAACCCAAAAAATGGAATCAGGGTTTAGGAGCCCAAGGGGCAACTCCCAAAAAATGATCAGAAAAATGCTTATTTTCCAGTTCAGGAACTGCGACAAACCAGCACCTAGGGTGATGATTCACCACTGCTCAAAAAAGAAAGACTTCCCGGTAGCATTCCCTCTCGTCAGCTAACTGCGACTCAGCCACCGCATCAACTTTGCTTAGACAGTTCCAACGAGAAGCTATATTCTCCAACTCCGCACCTACAATCTCGTTAGCCCCGAGATCCAATGCTGCCATGCTTGCACGCCCATCCGGCACCGCAATTGGGTTACAAAACCAGGTATATGAAAGATGCACAAATTCCCTTGCGATACACCGTGTAAAGTCCACAGCAGCTCAAAATGCGCCAGAAAGATGTCGATGGAACCACCGCAAAAAAATATGACTTCCAAGCTAATCTGCGAGACCACACGGAAGACGTAGCCAAAAAACGTCGCGACAGAAGATTGGAGGCTTGAGGGGGAGCCCAGGGCGGCGCAAAGAGAATGGGGTATAGGAGCAATACAAATGACTAAGAGAAGCCTTCGTGAGGACGCCGGAATGAATGAAAGTTTTGTGGATGAATGAACATAGGGTGCTCCCAACTCATTCATCCCTCGGTCCTATCTCGAGATCCTTCCTTTCCAGGGGACCACGGTCATGGTGGATGAATGACGTTCTCCTTCCGAAATAACTTCATCCAACAGCGAGACGATGTGTTTGGCCCACGGCGAAATGCGACACAGCCTGGTCGTCCTCAGTGGACGGCAATAGGGTTTAGGGTTTAGAACGGCTCAAACGGGCATCAGTTATAAACCGACGTTTGAATTCTGCGCTTTTTGGATCAGATCCTTAAGACCTGAAATGGGACCTGAAATTAGTATATTACGCTTCGTAACATACTCGGAAATTATACTAGTACAAGTAGCAAATATTTCATCTTACATAGTTGGATGAAAAATATTGCCTCTCTTATATTTCCTAGGTCAATGCATAAAATTTCACTCAAGTGCTCTCTTTCTCAATATATATATATATATATATATATATAAATACATATATTTATATATACTATTTTTTTCTTTTTTATCAAAATAAATGTTAGTTCAAACATTTATGTCAAATTATACCTTTATCTTGCATTAGTAAATTTGATATAAAAGGTTTGAATTTACTACTAAACTTTGTAACATTTGTAAAATAAAAAATAAGTTTATTCTCTATTTAGATATAAGAGTTAAATTTGACAAGCTAATATATAATAGAACAACATTATGTAATTTTATTAGAACTACTTACAAACTATATTATATTTAATATAATCATCTATATATATAATTCAAATTAATTTAAATAAATTTATATATATAATTTTTTATCTAATTTTTTATTTGTTTATTTTAATTATCATACAATTAGTTCTTTTATATGCCTTAGATCTTGAATGGTTTTTTTAATATTAATATTATATAAATATATGTCAAAATAATAAAATATTTTAGATATTTTAAATATTAAATATTTTAGATTTATATAGTACTAAAAATTTGGATTGACAATACAATGCAAGAAGACAACATTGCATATATTTTGCATGTCCATCAAACTATGGTAGTTAGTTGGTCAATATAACAAATAATATATATTTAATATAAGAATGCATTAAGTCCAAATAAATATAAATCTACTTTTTATTTTTACATAATAATAAATAAATAAAATTATAATTAAATATTTAACAAATATTATTAGATATAATCAATCTTATCAAATCCAAAACCATCCATGGATGTGGTTTGTATCAAATATCACAAGTAAATGTATTCATCATTTCTTGTTCTTTAGTCATGTATAAGAGAGACAATTGGTATGTAGTAAAGGCAATTTAGAACTCTTTACACTTAATGGATTTATTTTGTAATACATAGTATGATTTATCATCTTCATCATGGTTAATAGTAAATTGAAGACAAAAAATCCTACTTCAAAATTTGAAAATACTCTACTTTTTTACTTGCTATACCAAACAAGCAAAAAAAAAAAAAAAAAAAAAAAAAAAACTCCATTTTTTTGTTCTTATCTTATAACACTTGCTTTCTTGCATATATACTCTTATTCTTGAATAAACACTCTTATAGCTTGTTATTATTACAAGCTATTACAAAATGCCTTGTCTAAAAAAAGCCCTTGTCTTTCGCAACTTCCACAATGAACAAAAGAAAGTAAAATGTGCAAGAATTGATAGTACACCATGAATGATACAAAAAAAATTAGCAACTTGGACCAAGGATGAATTTAGTCTAGCAAAAATATCTACTAAAAGTACTATTTTTGATATTATTAAGAAAGAGAATGAATATGCTGATATGACTCTAACAAACTTAAAGATGAAGCAACAATGCGTAATAAACCATCCAGAGCTCGACAATGGTTTGGTCAAATGGTTCTTGCAACGCAAGCCCAAATTTTTTGCCAACTAGCTTAGTATTCTTGAGAACAAATAATCACAATATCACGGATATACATATTTATTCTAATATTTAATTATACAATTAACTAGAAGTAGATAAAAGTAGATTTATTTCATAATATTTTATAGAATAGCTTCTTAGAAGTTTAATAGATGCTACTTTGACTTTACATGTGTTTGTAGTTGATTGATAGGTTAGAAACTTGGCCAATACATTAACCACGTGTTGTTAGCTTGTGGACCAAGCTAACTATAAGACTTGTCTTGTAAGTTAAAACACATGTCTTATAAAGTCAACATGTTTTAGAGGTCTTATAGGACATCATTATGTAGCTCTTATTTAAGAGTATATATAAAAGTAAGAGTGAAGCCTTCTTTACTCTTCTTAATGCCTTTCTAGTCCTTAATCTTATTTCAAGACTTTCTAATTTTCTTGTCTTTGGCAATAGTCATTCTAGTTTGGTACTATATCATTTTTGAATGATTTTTTAATCTTTTTGAGTAACATAAGAATGTATTAATATTTTATTTTTATAAAATTTATGTCTTTGACAATTTTACAAGAATCTTAATTCATTGTTTTTGTCTTGTTTAAGAAGTAAGTAGATAATCCCACTTCTATTGTTGTATTTTGAAGTTTGTAGATTACTTATTTTTAGATAAATTATTTAATTTTCTAATATTGATTTTTTTTAAAGAGAGTAGATTATTCTTCTTTGTGGAAATTTTCATTTAATATTAAAGGTTGCAGATTATCCTTTTCTAATTTGACTTGTAAATTTTTTAAGTTATTTTAAATGGAAAAAAAAATTATGGATGCTACACTTAGAAGAAATAAAAATAGATTTTATTCTATTGCAAATCTTTATAAACTTGTCAATACTTTTAGGGTGGAAATTTCACACCACCAATGCCAAGCAAAGAAACACTAATCCTATGCTTATGAAAGAAATTCAAAATTTATATTAAGTATTTATTCAGTTAAAGGAAGCAAATAGATCAACCTCACAACCAAATCGAAGAAGTTTTGCTTCTACAAGTATAATGAAGACAAAGATTAATATTCTTGAGAAGTATGATGAAACAAGATCAAAATTTCAAGGATTTTTGAAATAAGTCAAATTCTATCTAAGGTTGCATCCCTTCCAATACCTTCATGGATTTACTCAAGTTGGATTCATAAATACATTTCTATCTAAAAGTGCTCTCTCTTACTTTGTACTTTTAATAGAAAAGGATTCATGATTCTTTTATAATCTAAATTCATTCCTAGAAGAATTTATGGCCACATTTAGAAAAAATAATCAAAAAAGAGTAGCAAAAACCAAACTCTTATCTTTACAACAAGGATCATGATTAGCTACTATATATGTTGTTAAATTCCAAATCCTTGCTTGTGATGTGGATTGGAATGACAAAGCCCTTATTAATCAATTTTAATATGAATTAAAAGACAACATCAAAGATTTATTAATGATAATATCAAAAGAAAAATCTTTGAAACAATTTATTACTCAAGCCATTGCATACAATAATCAATTATTTGAAAGGCGTTAGGAACAAAGATTTGGTTGGAGAGGAACAAGTTAATTAATAATAGTAATTTTTTAGTTTTTAAAAACTTATTTATCAACCCCAAAATCAATACAAATTAATATGGTATATATTAAACCTCTTATTAAGCAAGAAAAGACTTGTTGCCATGAAAAAAAATTGTGCCTATATTATAGAGAATCCAAGCACACTACTCAACATTATCCAAAGAAGCAATGCAACCACAAAATGAGGAGCATGATTGCTAAAGAAGACAATATATCAAAAAACAAGTCTCTCCAACTACCATAGGAATCATGCAACTGAAATCTTATATAACTCTTAGTAAAGGTCTTATTCTCTCTCTCAGATCCCTCACCTTATTTTATAATAGAAGTTTGTTTAGGACCAAAAAATCACAAAGTCTTGGTCTTATTGGATTCAAGAGCCTCAGCTTGTTTTATAGACGATGACTTTGTCAAAAAATAAGATGTGTCTTTAATTAAGAAAATCAAATATATACATGATTGATTAGATTTCTCACAATCTTGATATTTCCATAATTTAATTTAAGATTCTACTAAGCAAGTAGAAATCCATAAGTTCAATACATCCAAACCATTATTAGTAAGTGCAAGAACTTTCATGCATGTTATAAAAGAAGGGCCAACTTTTGTTATATACGCTATATCTATTATTAAAGAAAAAAGATTTTAAGTAGCATTCCAAGCCAATACCAAGATTATCAAGACGTCTTTAAAAAAAATATATAAATATGCTTCTAGAGCATTGTCTTTATGATTGTTCCATTGATCTTCAAAAAGAAACTCAACTATCATTCAAACCTATCTATAGCATATTATCAAATAAATTGGCTACATTCAAAGAATATATTAATAAAAATTTGGCAAAGAACTTCATGTGTCTTTTAAAATTTCCAGCCAAGGCTCCTATTTTATTTATAAAGAAAAAAGATGGAGCTTGATGGATGTGTGTAGATTATCAAGGACTCAATAAGATCACCATCAAGGATAGGTATCTTCTATCCTTGATTTTAAGAATTCTTGATCAATTGAATAAAGTAAAGATCTATATAAAAATAGATCTATGAAGAACATACAATTTGGTATTTATTAAAAAAAGAGATAAATAAAAAACTGCATTTCAAACCATGTATGGGCATTTTGAATATAATGTCATGCCTTTTGAACTTACAAATGTACTAGCTACTTTTCAACATCTAATGAATGATGTCTTTTGTGTGTTTCTTGACAATTTTATTATTTATTTATTTTTTATTTAGACAACATCTTAATCTTTTCTAAGAACAAAGATGAATATGAAGTTTATATTTGTGGTGTATTATAAAAACTAAAAAATACAAGATTATATGCCAAAACAAAAAAGTATGTATTTCATACTATTTAAATTGATTTTTTAAAATACACCATTTCAAGAATTAGTCATATAATGGATCCTAAGAAGGTTCAAACTATTATAGATTGAATGATTT